CTTTAATCTATGTGTAATTAAAAACGCAACTAAATCATTTTTTAGAAATACATGTATATATATAAATAAATATGAAAATTATGATGATTCATAAAATATTTCGAACGTAAGTTTGACTTAGCTAAGACCTAGCTAAGTTCATTTTATGTTACGGTTTAAGACAAATTTAAGTAGTACCTAGGCAGGTCTTAAGATTGCGCCTAAAACATACTTATGACCCTACCTAATAGTAAAAAAAAATCCGGAACCTTTCGGAGAGCCGTGGACAAATTTAATTGTAATCTCTTGTTTTATTCTTTACACTTTAATGCTCGTTTTATAAATAGCTTTTTATTTTCTCAATATCGAAACATGCAGGACGGTCAGGGGTCTTTGAAGCCTTCCATCTTATTCAGAGTTAATAAAGAAACAAAATTATGAATTTCGATACACACCCCATTTCAGGAAATATATGCATGTGAAGGAAAACTGCTTGTTGGTAAAAGTGTTTAATCTCACCCTTACTCCACCTTTAAGTCCCTCACGAAATATATTTATAATTACATGTACATTTAAATGAAAGTCCAACAAAGTGAAGAGAATTGACCCACTTTATTTTTACATGGTTCTATACGTAGTAGTATAGTCGGTGTTAGAAACATGCATTGCAATTGAATTAAGAAAATTGTAACAATTTTTCATTTAGTCTCAAACTGAACATAATCTGGTATGACTTATTAAGTTATTTAAAGTTATTTAAAAAGTCATACAAGAATTATACATGTGCTACATGTAGTTAAGGCATCGATCGGTGTGTATTATTTCAGAAGCCCTCCGTAAACTTATTTCCGTGATTTTTTTTTAAAATCCAGTTCGACCAATTGGTAGTAAACTCGACTCAGCTCAGAGAGACAAGAAGGGCGTTCTAATGAAATTTAAGAAAAAAAACAACTACATGCATGGGAGCAATCTATTCAGCTACTCCTGTTTGTATCTTAATCTGTTGTGTAATTTTTATTTTATCTATGTACCAGTGATCCAGATAACATACATGTATTTGCGGAATCGTAATACATTTTCCCCCTTTTTTATGCGGAATCGTAATTAAAAAAAAATATTCGAGAAATTGTGACTCATTTTTTGCGGAAAGATATTATCAATATGCGAAAACGTGGAACACCGCTTCAAAGTGAAGGATTGGTGATATCCAAAAAGAAGACCAAGGACAAAAAGAAAAAAATATATATATAATCTCGTTTTCCTACCCATGTTCAAATGGTTGGGGTTTCTCTCTCTTTTTTGTGGCCCGAATGTAGAAAAGATTTTCGAGTTTAGACAATAGGTTTAGGTTTTTTTCCTGCTTGTCAAACTGTTTTGGAGTCCCACCCCCCCCCCCCCCTCCCGCGTTAAAAATCGATTTTTAAGCAGCAAAAAGGAAGAAAAAATGACAAAACGCCTTATATTAAAATTTCCTATGTACATTAACAACAGTTATTTTCTCGGGAGAATAAAAAAACACTAGGGGGCATCCCTGTACCCCTTCGATACTGCATGCTTCATGCAGATCGTAGTATTTCCCAGTTTAATATCAAGGCTAGACCGTGACTGTGACTTCCTGTTCTATTCCTTATTTGGGGGGAGAGGGTAATCTATGTTCAATTTGGAAGACCAATTATAGAATCTGTGCTGTGTGAGTCAATAACCTCTAAAGCATAATCCCCTTTCAATTATTAAATGGATACATTATATATGATATGTTTTAAAACCTATATTCGCTGTAAAGGTCCCTGGTACAGAGCGAGGACAATCTCCCAGCCTGAAAAAACACGATTCTCAATTTTGAAAGTTCTTGAAAAGTTACATTTTTCAAAAAAAAAAAAAATGTATTGTCAATATCATCTTTTACACATTAGCTTCCTTTATTTTACTGAATAATTTATTGATAAATAATTTATTTTTCGCCACGAAGTCTTCTTGTCATTGATGTGTTTCAGTGTGATTAAAATAAAAGAGGTTGTTGAAGCGTATTTTTTTCTATAATGTTCGATTTTCAAATGGAATGGGCTCAGACTCCATTTTTTAAAACTTTAAGTTAATTTTACATTTACTTTTCGGTCATTTAAAGGTTAATGTAGAAAGGGAACTTGTCCCATTCATTTTCAAAAATCATTTTGTGTGGCTCCAAAAAACCAGTTTTCCACTAAATATGCTTTACTTACAACTTTAAAACAAATCATCAACCAATGCCATTTAATAAAATAAATGAGTCAAATATGTTGAAAATGCCATTCCTGAAAACTTTATTTTAGAAAAATATAACTTTTCCATGAACTTTAAAGATTGAGAAATTTATTATCTCAGAGCGGGTGATTGTCCCCGCCTTATACGCCCCGTTTCTTTTAAGATGTCTTTTAGGTTTCACAATAATGTGCATTATAAAACCACTATCGTTATTTTGATCTAACTTTACCATGATATTTTAGTAGGGATATTTCCTACAGCTGATTGATTGATTGTGTGTATTTTTGTCCCAATCGAGAATTTCCTACAGTTGAAGTCAAGCTTTTATCATTTAAAATTTACAGCATACCACCGACAAACATTTATCTGCTTTTATATACATTGTACATCAGTTTGCATTGGTCTATAATTCTTACCCAATTTGATCTTCCCCTTAACTTGTTCTCCCAAGCAGAATAACATGTTATATAGTTTTATCATATCTCTACTGATTTTTTCCCTATAGAACATTAGATCGTTAGATGTGACTAATTCCCTAGAAATCGTAATGAATGGATTAGTCCCCGTGCGTTAGTCAAGTGAGCTAATCCCTGCTTCGAAAGCTAATTCCCGGTTATCCGTAATCCTCTAGATTTTACTTTTACATTGGTATGATATGTGAATGGACTAATCCCCGTGTGTTAGTTAGTTAGTGAGCTAATCCCTGCTATGAAATCATGCTATCTGAATCCTCTAACTCTAAATTTTAAGTTTTTATCAGTATAATAAAACAGTTAAAAGTATATCATTGCGGGAGTTAGCAAGATTTCAGTTCCTCTCGACCAGGACTATTTCCCTCGGCTTCGCCTCGGGAAATAGTCTTGGCCTTGGGGAACTGGAATCTTGCTAACTCCCTCAGTGGTATATTTTAACTGTATAAGTATCCACCATTCTGGTCATAAAAAGCATTTCTAGATATTTAATACTGCAAAAGTTATGTAGTTTTATTCTGCAATCTAACGAAAAAATAAACATATACAAAGAAAATTAAATTTCTGTTTATTTCAAAAATAAAAATCATCACAAATTGTGCTCATTCAAAATTCAGTCAAAATATGATCTATTCATGTAGCTTACATTACATTAGAAATTCAAACACATGCAAGTTTATCAATAGAGGTTGATATAATATTATATTTAGCAATGTTTTAATAATTATATACACATCATAAAAAAGTGTCTTTTTATATTATGCTCACACATAGCAAGAGGCTACTCTAACTTACACAGTAAGTCAACACTCTTCTAAACTAACTCAACATGAAAACACATAATGAGCTACACTACTTACACACATATTGAGTCACTACATGACTATTACACATAAAAATAACAATATTAGCACACAAAATGAGCTACATGTACACTACCACAGGTAAAATTCTACATTCCCAACACAAAATGAATCCCATGCTACATGTACAACAAACAAATCAAAATAACAATACAAAATAAGTATTACAAATACATGTAACAATATTAAAACTTACAATGAGCTATACCAGTAACACACATAAAATTATACATTCCCAACAAATGAGTCACCATACTACATGTACAACTCACATAACAAATAACAAAAGTACCACTCATAATAAGCTACACTACTAACACACATGTCGAGTCACTACAGAACTAACACACATGTCAAGTAACTACACTACTTACACACATGTCAAGACACTACACTACTTACACACATGTTGAGTCACTACACTACTGATATATACCTTACAAATAACAATTTTAAATCACACGATGAGCAATACAAGTAACACACATAATATTATACATTCCCAACACATGAGTCACCATACTACATGTACGACTCACATAACAAATAACAAAATAACCTCACATAATAAGCTACACTACTAACACACATGTTGATTCACTACACTACTAACACACATGTCGAGTCACTACACTACTTACACACATGTCGAGTCACTACACTTCTAATATATAACTTACAAATAACAGTTTTAAATCGCACGATGAGTTATACAAGTAACACATTTAAAATTATACAATCCCGACACACCAGTCACCATACTACATGTACAACTCACATAACAAATAACAAAATTACCATACATCATACGCATGTGAGTTAAGGCTAGGTATAGGCGTTTCTATGCAAATGAGCTAATAAAAATGCATAAGAGGTATATCTATTATTCCGAGAAAGTTTTGATTTATTTTCTTATGCATACTTAGTACCCGCGATATGTTATAGCCAGTATATATTATGACGTCATTGTTCTTACCTACTGGAGGCAATAAAACGCATCAACAAAACAGCTTCAGCGCAAGGGATTACCCTATTTATTTTTACATAAAAATTGTATAATGCTAAGAAGAATATTCTATAGATTAATAAAACTGCTGCACAAATCCTAGGCATTTTCTCATTTGATCGGAATTTGAGGAAACTTATACCGGACTGTGTATTTTCACCCTGATTCAACTTAAAACTTTACAAATAGAAATTATACAACTGAGCTGTTGATATTTGTGCAGCAATACCAACAATCTTTGGAATATTTTGCTTCAAAATATACCTTGTTTCAGTTAAATAAAATACAGCATGCCCTTGCGCCGAAGCATTTTTGTTGAAGTCCATTATAATCTTGTGCAGTAAAGAACAATGACGTCATAATATGACGTCATAATGTGTACTGGCTATCTCATGTCGTGGGTACCAAGTATGAATTAGACAATAAGATTTAACTTTCTCTGTAAAATAGATATAGTTCTTAGGCACTTGAATTAGTTTATTTCAATAGAAATGCCTATACCTAGCCTTAACTCACCTGCGTAAGCTACACTCATAAAACACATGCCGAGTCACTACACTACTTACACACATGTTGAGTCACTACACTACTTACACACATATCGAGTCACTACACTTCTAATATATACCTTACAAATAACAGTTTTAAATCGCGCAATGAGTTATACAAGTAACACATTTAATATTATACAATCCCGACACACCAGTCACCATACTACATGTACAACTCACATAACAAATAACAAAATTACCACACATCATAAGCTACACTCATAACACACATGTCGAGTCACTACACTACTTACACACATGTCGAGTCACTACACTACTTACACACATGTCGAGAAATTCGCTGGATTAGACGACATTCCGGATTAGACAACATTTAAAACAATTGAGTCTACTGCAGGTGACTTAAAGTTAACATTGTATAAGTCAAGTTTTTGGAGTACACAACATCCGAATAAGACAAGTTTCACTGTATATTACAAATAACAATATAAGAACACATGAGGAGCTTTACCAATAACACACATAAAATCACATATTCCCAACACGTAATGAGTCAACATACTAAATGTACAACACACATAACAAATAACAAAATTACCACACATAAAAAGCTACACTACAAACACACATGTCGAGTCACTACACTATTAACACACATGTCGAGTCACTACACTTCTAATATATACATTACAAATAACAACATTAAATCACATGATGAGCTATACCAGTAACACACATAAAACAAGAAGTCTGTGAGCCAATGCTCACTGGTAATACCTCCGCTGTGATTTGAATATACACTATCATGTGTATATTCACAAGTTCAACTATGGACAGATGCATGAATAAACAGGAAGTTGACATCAGATTCATACAAAAATGAATCCCACCATATGACAATTATGCGTCAACAAAGAGTGTGCTAAAATTTCAAGCATCTGCAATGAGTTGTTGCTGAGAAAACTTTGACAAAAATTTGTTCCATATTATACAGACAGATGCACAGTTAAACAGGAAGTTGACATCAAATTCAGAAATGAATCCCATCATATGGCATGCCTAAACAAAGAGTGTGTAAACTTTCATGCATCTGCAATAAGTAGTTGATGAGAAACTGCAACAAATATTTGTTATATATGGTATAGACAGACACACAGATAAACAGGAAGTTGACATCAGACTTGTACAAAAATAAATCCCACGATATGGCATGCCAAAATAAAGAATGTGCTAAAATTTCAAGCATCTGCTCTGAGTAATTGCTGAAAAAACTGCGAAAAAAATTCGTTATGTATGGTACAGACAGACGCACAGATAAAAAGGAAGTTGGCATCAAATTCATACAAAAATGAATCCCACCATATGACATGCCTCAGCAATGAGTGTGCTAAAATTTCAAGCAATAAGTAGTGCTTAGAAAACTGCGACGAAAATGTGTTATGTGTGGTATGGACAGACACATGGATAAACAGGAAGTTGACATCAGATTTGTATGAAAATGATTCCCACCAAGCCTAAACAAAGAGTATGCTAAAATTTCAAGCATCTGCAATGAGTAGTTGCTGAGAAAACTGTGACCAAAAATTTGTTATGGACAGTCAGACAGACACACACACAGCTAGACAGACAAGGGTAAAACAGTATCTTTTGGAGCAAGAATATAATAATACATTCCCAACACATGAGTCACCATACTACATGTACAACACACATAACAAATAACAAAATTACCACACATAATAAGCTACACTACTAACACACATGTCGAGTCACTACACTACTAACACACATGTCGAGTCACTACACTACTAACACACATGTCGAGTCACTACACTAATAAAATATACATTACAAAAAAAATTATTAAAACACACAATGAGCTATACCAGTAACACACATCAAATTAAAATATACTTTCCCAACACATGAGTTGCCGTACTACATATACAACAACCATAACATATAACAAAAATACCACATATAATAAGCTACACTTCAAACACACATGTCGAGTCACTACACTACTAACACACATGTCATGTCACTACACACTAACATACTTGTGGAGTCACTACAATACTAATATATACACTACAAATAACTATATTAAAACACACACAATGAGTTATACAAGTAACACACATAAAATTATACATTCCCAACACATGAGTCACCATACTACATGTACAACTCACATAACAAATAACAAAATTACCACACATAATAAGCTACACTACTAACACACATGTCGAGTCACTACACTACTAACACACATGTCGAGTCACTTTACTACTAATATATACATTACAAATAACCATTTTAAATCACTCGATGAGGCATATCAGTAACATACATAAAATTATACATTCCTAACACATGAGTCACCATACTACATACGTACACAAAATAACCACACATCATAAGCTACACTCATAACACACATGTCGAGTCACTACACTACTTACACACATGTCGAGTCACTACACTACTAATATATATTACAAAAAACAATATTTACACACATTATGAGTTATACCAGTAACACACATAAAATTATACATTAATTCCCAACACATGAGTCACCATACTATATGTACTATCATACATGTAAAACAAATAACAAAATTACCACACATAACGAGCTATACTACTAACACACATTTCAAGTCACTACACTACCATTCATATAATGTTATATATAAATGAGGTCATATAAGGAGTCAATACATTTACAATAGAGTCAACATGCTCCTAAAACACACTTATATTAGGTCGTTATAGCACTTGTCACATGTACTAGCACATGAATCACTATTATGACAAAAGAATTCTTTAGATGTACATGTAGTTGTTATTTAATCTTTGTCTAGCTGTTATGATATTTTAACAGCAAATTTTATACTCTTTCCTGCAAATTCAAAGATTGTTCTGCTTTCTGGAGGGGCATTCAAACACTTCAATTGACCATGTTTAAGTCATACTGACTTATTCCACTCCACATCGGCACTCTATGGCTGTTTTTCTTTTGTCCACACATCTTACAAATGGAACTGAAATACATAATTATATAATAGAACCATTAAAGCTTTTACATAAAAATGAAAAAAAAATATATCAGTGATCAAGTTTCCAATCTTAATTAAGACACAACACTTCTTTAAAAGCAAAAGGACAAGAATAAATTTTAAAATTAAAATTCCTAAAACAGCTAGTTAACATTTTGTGTATTTGATTTGTATTAAATGATTATCCTTTAGAACTTGTTAGCCTTTTGAATTACTGTAAATGTATAATATTTAGCGTGTACAATATTTGGCAGAAGTTGATTATTGAGCAAGTTAGCGGAGATTTGATTTAAAGCATTTGTTAATGTTCTTCTTTATGTGTATTTGTGCAAGACATTTAGCGTTGTACTTGAATCAGTGGACATTGCTTTCCGACAAAGGCACTAAAAAGAATACACAGCGAAAAGTATATTCACAACTTAACAAACACTTTCTGAAATTTTGGGTTATCCTTTTCTTTTGTCCTTGCCTTTGGTTTCCTATCAAGCTTTTCAGTTTAAAGTGCCAAACTTTAATCTCATCTTGTTCTATAATTTACATATCAAAAGGTTGGAATCTTTATAGTTAGGACTATATAAGTACTCACAACAGAATACATGCATCTAGACAAATAAGGATTTTTTCAAAATGAAAACATGTATCCAAGCAAGTCACTTATAAGAATATTATAAATGAAAACATTCAACAAGCTACACAATTTAGATTCATTTAGCTTTTCCTGTATATTTATCTGTCTCTCATTAGTAACATATATTAATAAATGGAGTAAAATGAAAGACCTAATTTTAATTACACTAAAAGTCTACCAAGTAACAGTAATATGTAATAATTAGTTTTACATGTTTCATAATGTGCATAAGGAGATGGGTGAACAAGGCATGCAAAAAGCCTATAGCTTCAAATGTATAAAAGTCATATTCAAATACTGAGTTTAGTATTTAGAGTAAAGTTCTTCTTATTGAAAGGTATAACATTATATTACAAACAAAACTTTTCTGTGGAAAATTCTTTAAGCAAAAATCATTCTATGATAAAAAAAAAAAAATGGTATTCTAGGGGTTGAAAACCAAGCAATGAAATTAAATCCTGAATATCAGTTTTTTTTCTAAGAGACTAACATGCTAACCACTAAACTACATACATGTAGCTCATGACAAAAATGGGCATTTACATATGTAAATCACGTTTAAAAATGTGGCTCTTGACTAAATGGATTTCAAATATATTTCTGAAAGATATGCAGGGTTTGACACTAAGGCACGTCCGACTGACCCAGTCTAGTAAATGCATGGTCCGTCATGTTAAATGTTCAATAACTTGCCCGACTGGTTGTGTGGATGAAATAAATGTTAACTCTCATTTCAGTCTTTCAAATAAATGCTCTGACTAAAAACTTTTTAAAGAAATTTTCTTAATTTTCAGATTGCAAACACAGCCATTGCTCTGAAAAAGAAAACTTTCCTGCATGACACAATTGCTTTTTTTTTTAGACCGGCTGTAATAGACAAGTCACAATCGAAACCTCAGCTTTGTTCAGTATCATTTGGTATAAATATTCATTGAATATTACAGTTTTTAATTTATTTACATGTATATTTACGGTAATAATTTTATTTAAGTTCCTTGAACTAATGTTCTTTAAAGCTTATAACATTCGCATGTTCACTCATTGGGCTGCTACCTATGGGCTCAACAGTCTGTCAAAATGTATACATGAACACATGCGAGAGATACACTGTAGTATGGTTTCAAAACTTTTTTCCCATTATAATAGGAGGTTATAAATAGAAAATTTTCAAGTTTGGTCAGGGCTAGTGAATTTATGGTCAGAGCTAGTAAAAATTATGGGAAGTAGCACGACTGATCTAGTACTCATAAAAGTTAATGTCAAACCATGATATGAATGTTGTTGTGACTAGTGGTGTTCCAATCATCGATTATAATCGAAAATCAGTCAATTGCTGGCATAATCCAAGCACTCGATTACAAATTTTTTATTCTGATTAATCGGGTTATTTATTTTATTTTAAAAGCGTAATAGTTTTTAAGCCAAATATTCCAGCCGCAACTTTTCTATTAACTTATATGCATATCGTAATGGCACAGACAAAGAGACATTGTATTCATACCCAGGTAACAATGCTCATTCCTGGGTATGGACGTACTTTGGATTCTACAAAATGAGCGTAGAACCAGCTTGACTAGATAGAACATTCTGTCGTTAAAATGATATTGTCCTAAGGACTAGGGGTTGTTCCGAGACACAGTTATTCCAACTACAGCTGGACCACCACAGAAACCATTCTTACCATTTAATAAACTAAAATTGACAGACTTTGTAAATGTCCGATTATAATTGATAATTAGTTAGTTACAGTAGCCTGATCATCGATTATGAAATTCTTACCAATTCCCATCACTAGTTGTGACATAAAAGTCTATTTTTAGAAGAGTTGGTCATTTCACCATGTTTTTGTCAAACGAAATAGGAAAAGTTTTAAATATGCTTCGAGTATAATCTTACCAAAATATGGAGTGAAGACCTACTCATATTTAAAAAGTATGATATAGGAGGAAAAAATGACCATTTTTGCCCTCTTTTGGTGTGTATCTGCTATTTCATAGATCAATAATATTAATCGTTATAAGATTGTAGCAAATTGCAAAGATTTTACATAAGGTATACAATAATGTTACATGAAGTATCAAAGAAAATTTTGACATGATTAAGATTTAACGTTTTACATCTTTTTTTGTCACACAATAGGCATTTACTTGCCTTGTTTGCCCATCATCTTTATCAGTAGATAAGGTTTATGATTCAGACGGCATCTGATAATGCAGCAATAAAATGTAAAATGATAGAAATAACTGCACTATGCTCACTTTTTTCCTCCCAGAGCTCTTCTTTTCATCTTCAATTTCTTCCTCTTCATTTCCTCAACTTTTTCTTCTATTGCAAGTTCTGTAAAAAAAAAAATCCAATTCGATAAACTACTAAACTGACAAAAACTCAATTTGTCAAGTTTCGGATTTTACCAGATTCATGAAAAATCTTGGCATACTGAACCTTTTTAGTGATTTATCTGAGAAAAGAGTGGTTAGTAACTTATTCATTTTCATGTACCTGCTTGACTTCGACAGAAACGTTTTGGTACTAGAATGTGAAATACATACTTTTGTTATTACCTAAAATATTTCCATGACCTCAAATTCACCTATATTTCTTGCTGCTATTAAAGCCTGGTCAAGAAATAACGTTTCCCCTATAACAGGCATCAATTAACAAGGTTATGATTCAAAGTTTCAAAGTGTGCAGCTTGATTCACACAAAAGAAAAAAAAAACATGACTGAACAGATTTACAAGTACTTGCAAAGACTAGAAATGTGTCTTGATCGACATTTTCAGCCTAAGGTAAAGTCAGGGCATAGTCATGTAACATGTAACATTTTTCATGATGAATTACCTATATACAGTCCAATCTCATTATCTTAAACTAGATGACACAAAGTAAAAAAAAATAAAGATGTTCCTGGGTTCCAGTAAAGAGTACTCAAATACCACTAAATCATACAGTGAAACCTGTGTAATCCGACCTGCACTGGGAGACAAATTTTTTGTCGGAATAGATAGGGTGTCGTATTGATCAGTGTAAAAAAACATAGAAAAAAGTAAAATGGGAATGAAATTTAACCTTGGAATTTACAGTGTGACGGATTGCACAGGTGTCAGATTAGACAGTTTTCACTGTACAATCATATAATTATGGAGATAACGAAGCTCAAGAGTCCATAGAAAAAATACAAATCAGGAGCAAACACGGACCACTAAAAACATCAGAGGTGGGATCAGGTGCAATATAGGAGTAAACATCCTCTGCCAATCATTCACATTTGATGTGTGCTCCTTGTCATGATCGGGAAAACGGAAAAGTCTGTAGACAATTCAATGTGTAAACAGACAATTCAATGTGTAAATAATGGCCAAACAATTAGTATTAAAAACATCAGTCCGCATTCGACTTACATGTAATGAAAGATTGTTTTTGCTGACAAGGTCATTGTATCGACCATAGCTAATTACACACATGCAAGTCACTACATCCAGTCAAAGTTGATGTTTTGATATTTTTTCTCAAAATATTTATGAAAGAATAAGATAAGTACATGGTAATTTTGTTGACTTGAAGAAATACATTGATGGGGAAGGGGGGGGGGTATTGTGATAATAATTACCTAGTCCTTTTTCATTCTGCCTTTTTCTTTATTTCTTTCCCTTTCTCTTCCGTTCCACCCTCTGGCTCATTATCTTCCATCACTTCATCCCTCTCAGAAATGGTTTCCAGTACAGATAAAGTGGTTGATGAATGACTTACTTAAAATTATGGACCCATGATATAGATGTTGTAATAATGTTACATGACACACACTGCAAGTCACTGTGCCCTGTAAAAATTGTTACCTTCTTCATTTATATTTAAGGATCAAGAACTAAATAAGAATTCATTCTTAAGTTTTACAAAAAAACTATATAAATCAGGATTTGAGAGGGCTTTGTAAAATTACTGTGAGATACATAATGTAATAACCTTGTCCTTTTTTCACCTTGTCCTCCTTGTTCTTCAGCTTTTTCTCCACTTCCTCATCTTCCTTCATTAAATCTTCCCTAGTAGCTGCTTCTAGTAGAAATAAATACCAATAAAATAAATTAAAAAAATCTTGACTCAAGAAACAGTAATGGTTACACATATTATAAAAAAAAGAACATTCTTAGAATATTTGTGAAGAACTAAATAAGTATTTTAGCTACAGTGTAATTAAAGTAAAAGACATTCCTATCAAATAGAAAACAAGAAGTCTGTGATCGAGCCAATGCTCACTAGTAATTATAATTCCCACACTGATTTGAATTTGGTACGGACAAGCACAGGGGTAAACAGGAAGTTGACGTCAAATTCATACAAAAATGAATCCCACCATATGGCATGCCTAAACAATTTAAAAGTGTGCTAAACTTTCAAGCATCATCCTTAACAGTTGTTGAGAAAACTGTGATGGAAATTTAGTACGGACAGATGGAGGGATGAACAGGAAGTTAACATGGGATTCCTACAAAAATACATCCTACCATATGGCATGCCTAAACAGAGAGCGTGCTAAAATATTAAGCACCTTCGATGAGTAGTTGCTGAGAAAAGTGCAACAGAAATTTGGTAAGAACATGGATACAATAAATATGACTAATTTAAATCATGTTTCTGTCATTCCATGTAAACTTTGATCCTCTTCTGTGGCCCTACCCTACCCCTAGGGTCCATGAATTGAACAAACTTGAATCTACACTACTGGTATTTCAGGAAGCTTTCAAATACATGCAAGTTTCTCAATTAATGCAAAATTGGTTATTTTCACTGGTTTAAATTTTCATGATTTGAGGGGATTTAATTTGTGGTTGAAAAAAAAAAAAAACATATGACACCATATCATAAAATTTCGATATTTGGTTTCACTACAATGTATACTAGTAGCTTAACACTGGAGGGTTTTTTTTTTATTTTGCCTACCATGAAATGAGACCTTGATTTTTAAGGTTTCATTTAAAACACATGCATCTTTCACTTATAGAGTCACAGCTTAGTAACCGAACAATCTCATTACCTATTTCAAACATCTTGGATTGACAAGGTGCTAGGAACAAGAATTGAACAGGGACCTATTAATTATAATGCGAGTACCGACAACAACTACCGTCTAGGCTACTGTGATTTGTCAGTTTCAGGAATTAAGATAAGGGATATCAATAATGAACACTTAAGTAATTATTGCAAAATATAAAGTCTAAACATTTCGGAAAGACTATGAATTTTAAATTAATTCTACTGATTTAGTTAAAATTTTTTGTTAGAGACTGATAAAGGAGACTTAAATTTTCAATTCAACTTTCCAGCATCATGTTTTATACAGTGTAAGCATGGCCTGACTAAATATATGCCTGAGATATTTTAATGTCAGGGTTCAACACTAATGTTAGTCCGTTAGTCTGATCAGACTAATACATTTTCATTTGGACTAATAAAATCTGTCGCTAGTAAGTCCCAACAGACCAATAAAAATTTCTGGAAAACAAAATGAATAAATTACGATTTTCAACAACATTTACTAGAAAACCCTGCATGTATTTTTAGCTTTCTAGCATCTTAGCAGGTAGTAAGGTAATTCTGAGTCAAGTTGGCACTTAATTTTACGACTGACTGATGTGAAATTAAACATTTTAGTGATTATGATTTAGTCCTGTACAAACAATTAAGGTGGATTCCGCCCAGAATTTCGTTGGACACCAAGGGTATTCCACCGAATCCACAAATTCCAGGCTCTCAGAGATTCTGCCTAAATTTAACAGATTCCAGTCATCAAATTTTAGGCTGAATTTAGTTCAGTGGGAAAATAGCTGGAAATTATAAAAAGAAATATTTTGGACAGTTTAAATGGAATCTATATTCAGGCGGAATCCTGTTATTTCAATTCTAGGTGGAATTTCAATTCCATGCAGGCAGAATGTCAATTTCCAGGCGGAACTAATTACATTTTCGCCTCAAATTTCCAGCTAGTTTCCGCTTGGTTAACGCTTGGTTTCTGCTTATATTGCTTTAACATTTATAGTAAGTTTTACGCCTGGAATTTTACTGAGAATTCTGTCTTGATTATGCCTTTTTCCAGGTGGAACATTTTGTACAGGGTATGATACATAAAGATGTCAAACGTTTTGAGTATAATGAACGAGATCAGGAATATGTTCATACTTCCTGCATGATCACGAGATTTTAAACAAGAGGCCCAGAGGCCACATCGCTCACCTGAGCACTATGGCTAGGAAAAAGCAGAATTCAGTTCAGTCTTGAAAGGTTGAAAAGTTTAAATAAAAAAGTGGTTCGGGGGGGGGGGGGGTCATGAATTGAACAAATTTGAATCTACATTATCTGAGGATGCTTCCATTTAAATATGACCAAACATGACTTTGCTGTTCTTGAGTAGAAGATTTTTAAAGATTTAACCTATGTATTCCTATGTAAAACTTTGATCGCCCATTGTGGCCCCACCCGACCCCCGGGGGTCATGATTTGAACAAACTTGAATCTACACTACCTGAGGATGCTTCCATGTAAATATGACCAATCATGGCTTTGCTGTTCTTGAGTAGAAGATTTTTAAAGATTTTTCCTATATTCCAATGTAAAACTTTGATCGCCAATTGTGGCCTCACCCGACCCCCAGGGGTCATGATTTGAACAAACTTGAATCTACACTACCTGAGGATGCTTCCATGTAAATATGACCAATCATGGCTTTGCTGTTCTTGAGAAGAAGATTTTTTAAAGATTTTTCCTATATATTCCTATGAAAAACTTTGATCGCCCATTGTGGCCCCACCCGACCCCCGGGGGTCATGATTTGAATAAACTTGAATCTACACTACCTGAGGATGCTTCCACATAAGTTTCATATTTTCGAGCACAGTGGTTCTTGAGAAGAAGATTTTTTAATGATGCCATTAATTTTTCACAAATTCTTAATTATCTCCCCTTGGAAGAAGGCGTGGCCCTTCATTTGAACAAACTTGAATCCCCTTTACCCAAGGATACTTTGTGCCAAGTTTGGTTGAAATTGGCCCAGTGGTTCTTGAGAAGAAGATGAAAATGTGAAAAGTTTACAACAACAACGACAATGACAACAACAACGACAGACAACGGACAAATTCTGATCAGAAAAGCTCACTTGAGCCTTTGGCTCAGGTGAGCTAAAAATCTTTGGAATAAAACACTTCATGTACTTTCAAAAAACTATAAAAAGTACATTGTAATCAGTCTTCGACAAATCCCGGGAGTCCAAAGCCCGGGACCTGGTAAAATTGGAAGGGGGCATGTGGAAATTGCATACTTACAAGCCCAAAGGGCATGTGAATTCTGAGGCCTAAGCCTCCGTATTATCAAATTAAGTAATACCAATAACATTAAATGTACTTAAAAGTCTGATTTTTCATCTGAAGTGGAGCACCAAATAAAATTTTAACGATAGTTTATTCTACCACGATTTCCAGGGAACTCTTTTGCAAAAGAAACACAAAAAGTGTACAGGTTGAAAACAATATTAATGGCTAGACAATAGATCGATAGAAATGGATTTCGGATCATTTCCTTGCCATGAAAAGGCAAATAAGAATAAAATTACTTGATAAAATTCTGGGCATGTGAATATTTGTTCGGGCTAGCGTAATAAGTGGTTAAACCTGCCCGAAGGGCATGTACTGAAAAAAAGATTTGGCAAAGACTGCATTGTAATGTTTATTTTTAGATAAATCGTTACAAAACACTGATCTTTCCTTTTTTGACGGACTCATGTGAAGTAGTAAAAGAAGGACATGTTTGTTGAAACACCCTGTATTAAAGGGATTTCAACGCTTATGTACATGATGTATTTGTTTAATCATTCATCCCACCCCAAAACAAAAAAAAGAAGCTTTTTAAAACAATTCTACTTACGCATTAGAAGTACTGCCATCTTTTTTCTCCTGGTGAAGGTTCAAAATATAATTAAATGGGTTTGTGTTCACTGGCCAATAGTTTTAAACACCATCTGCAGGAACCTTGAAGTTTTCCTGTATCACCATGAACCTAAACCAGAAGTCTCTGATGAGACTGTAGCTCTACTGGTCTGTACATATACATGTAACAAAGAAAAAGTAGCACTTGGATTCGAAACTTTGCAACATGCAGCAATAAATAGAATTATATATCTTCATATAGTCTACTTGTGTGCCAAGTTAAATTGAAATCAAATAAAAACTGAAGGAGGAGTAGCATTTTAAAAGAAATTCACAGAAATTTCTATTTTTAGTAACCATGGCAACATCGTTCATCGAAATAAAAAAACTGATGCTCTGAATTATGTATCATAGTGTAGTCTACTTGTGTGCCAAGTTATATTGAAACCAGACCAAAACTGTAGGAGGAATTTCATTTTGAAGGAATTTCACAGAAAATTCTATTTTTAGTAACCATAGCAACACCGCTCATCCAAATCAAAAATCGATGCACTAGATTATGTATCTTAGTGTAGTCTACTCGTGTGCCAAGTTATATTGAAACCAGACCAAAACTGTAGGAGGAGTAGCATTTTAAAGGAATTTCACAGAAATTTCTATTTTTAGTAACCATGGCAACACCGCTCATCCAAATCAAAAACCGATGCACTAAATTATGAATGTTAATAGAGTCTACTTGTATGCCAAATCACATTGAAATCAGACCAAAACTGTAGTAGGAGTAGCGTTTTAAAGGAATTTCACAGAAATTTCTATTTTTAGTAACCATGGCAACACTGCTCATCCAAATCAAAAACCGATGCACTAGATTATGTATCTTAGTGTAGTCTACTTGTGTGCCAAGTTATAATGAAATCAGACCAAATCTGTATGAGGAGTAGGGTTTTAAAGGAATTTCACAGAAATTTCTATTTTTAGTAACCATGGCAACACCGCTCATCCAAATCAAAAACCGATGCACTAGATTATGTATCTTAGTGTAGTCTACTTGTGTGCCAAGTTATATTGAAATCAGACCAAAACTGTAGGAGGAGTAGGGTTTTAAAGGAATTTCACAGAAATTTCTATTTTTAGTAACCATGGCAACACCGCTCATCCAAATCAAAAACCGATGCACTAAATTATGTATCTTAGTGTAGTCTACCTGTGTGCCAAGTTATATTGAAATCGGACCAAAACTGTAGGAGGAGTAGCATTTTGAAAAATTGTTTACAGACAGACGGACAGACAGACAGACAGACAGACAGACAGACAGACAGACGGACGGACGCCGGACACCTTACTATCGCATAAGCTCTTCTGGTCTCTGACCAGTAGAGCTAAAAAATCGATGTTATACTTCAGTATCACAAAACATCCATCCTAAAACATTCACAGACAGACATTAAACACATACAAACATTCCACGTTCCATTTATGTTCATTATTTGAAAATAATCATAAATTGTGAATTTGCTTCATCTTGCACTGATTTAAGTCCCAACATTGTTTAGTTAAATAAATAATACAGTTAAAAAGCATGTTTTACTGACCATGCTGACAAATAATACATTAGACAAAATTAATACATGTATCGATCATGCTATCAATAAAATATGAAAAATGTTAGTGTGCATGTTCACACACACTTGAATAAGTTGACTGACTGCTTCCAAAGAATGTACATGTCCTCATTCATGTAATCCTGTTCCATGATAATAGTTTTCATTTATACCCCTTCATAAAATGACACATGCATGTCACTTACATACTGCAAGACCCTGCCGGCCTGTACATTGAGTACACTACTTTCACTTTGAACTTGACTGAATACCGATTCCGACCTCGTTTGTGAATTTTTGTGTACATATTGAATCCTTATGTAAAAATATACTCAACTTAGCTTTGAATTAATAAACAATATAAATTGACACATTAATTGAATTTATTCGCTACATACATGTAACTGTAAACAACAGGAGGTATGAGAATTAGCTGTATGTTCATAAGGGGGGGGGGGGGGGTGGGGTTACTCCCATATGAAACTGTCTGGGTGGTTTAAACACAGGCACAAATTTAGCTTCCATAAACCTGTAACAGACTAGCATTTCTCCTCCTATATATGTAAAATATGTATAGAAAGCCATGCGAAAAAGTGGTCAAGGCAAGAACAGGCATGGGATAATGACTGAAATATAACATAACACAGTTTTACAAATAAACCCTTCACAGAAAGTTGTGCTAGGTTCCCTACATGAACTCATGGATTCTGAAAAACCTGTACCAGAAACCTGTGCCATTTTCCATATCTGGAGACCCTGATTTGGGAAACCGACCATGTCAAAAAATAACCAAATATGGAGTCATGAGATCTGCATGTGCCTTAATTAATTCATCTAGATCTGGGTTAGGATCTTGGAGAATCCCCTGATGTTGCTGTAGATGCCAAATAGAGACTGAATACAAACTTTACAATGCTTTACATTATTAATTTGATTAGTTTTAGAATTTTTAAAGTTTGAAATTAATACATGTATGAGAGTGCCACATTCATTTTTATAGAACTTATCTACACTATCATTTTAACAATTTATAGTAGTTTCTTATTAAGAATCAAATGATTCAATGCACAATTCTATAGTAATTTAACTTAATTAGGCCAAATGAAAAAAATTATGTGTTTCTGGTGACATATGCTAAAAAAAATTAGGCTAGGTAAGAAGGGAATAACTTTTTTTTTTACTTTACTGTTAATTTTGTTTACTTGATTGTTTGTTGTTTAATTCCCTTTCGAGAAATTTTCACTCATATGGAGATGCCACTACTTGTCGGTGGAGGGCTGCAAATTAATAGACCTATACTCCGCTCTCAGTGAGGGATCTTTTTCATGCCAGCACCTACTGCGACATAGGACCTCTGTTTATATGGTCTCATCCGAAGGACCGGTCTTCACGTCCCACAGTGGGATTCGAACCTGCAATCTAAGGATCAACTCCTTACTTCGCGACTTTAGAGCAAACACTCTAACCACTGCGTCACACAAGCAACACTTTTTATTTTGAAAGCATCAATTAATTATTCTGTACATTGTTTTTCTATCATATACATGTACATAAACATACATGTATATGAATAAACAAACAAACATATACATATATATATATATATATATATATATATATATATATATATATATATATATATATATATATATATATATATAAAGTAGGAGTACTCTTTAAGACTCTTGGATAAACAGGTTTTTACAGTGTACGAGACATGCATTTTATGGACTGCACTACGAGAAAACTTTACTATGAACAAAAGTATGATTCAAAATCTCGATTTGGAATAAAAAGTAGTAGAGTCGGTGGGTAAAATTAGGTCAGCTGGGTTATGGGAAATACATGTTGTTGTTTTTTTCAGCCTAAGTTTGTTCAAATTGAATTTAATAAAATCATAACTTTCTTTATCATGTGATGACACAAAATGAAATGAGATTGTTAACTTAGGTTAAATCATCATTGATCAACAAAGACTATTTCAATGTCTGTCAGCTTGCATTGAAACATCCAAGGATAAAGATTTCAAATGGCTTCTATATTAGACTTACTTACTTAGACTTTTAGTTCAAAAGTGACAAAATCATTCAAGTTGACCTAAGTACAATTCCAAGTGATATACATGTATATTAGTTATGTATCTTTTATAAATTAAGAAAGACACAAGCTATATTAGCTCAGGATCATGAATCCTTCTAATCTGATTTGCACAAAGGAAGTTATGATCATGCTATGTAAAAAGCCGTGAGATTAAAAATACATGTATATAGTTTGAACCAAATCTGCCTCATTCAAATTTTGTAAGTTAGAAAATATCTTCTTGGGACAAGTATTCCTTGCCTACACATTGGTTTCTGTGCACAAGAACACCTTGCTTTCAACCTCAGATTCTTGGTCATATCTTGGGTCTGTGGAGCCCGTACATCTTTTCTAAATTTCATATATGGGTTCCGTGCCTTAACTGTGTCTATATACACTATGTCTATTTCACCTCAAAATTTTGGAAGGACACTATATTGCGACTCGATTTGTTTTAAAATATGCACATTAAGCAAAATAAAAGTTGTGTATTTCATAGATTTCAACAATTGGAAATGATAATATTATTAAATTACAAACTTCAACTCAGCCTGAAAGTACAATTTTTTTAACAAGTAGAATTTCTCTTAGCATGCTTACCAATAGACGTACTCAATATATATGGGGTATACAGTCCACCAATACATTTCCCATAGGCGACAATGTTAACCTTTTCTCACACTGTTTTAAATCCTTGCTTTACATTTAAGGACGGAACAACTCTCAAATAACATCTCAAGGTGGAATGTCAGATTGTTTTCCGGCCAAATGCACACATTCGCAAAAAATAAACATCTGAAAATGAAAGTAATTAAAACAATAAAAGTAGAGCATTAACATTTCCAAAATCTAGGGTGTGCACATATCAAACTATACAATTCCTTTCCTTTAAAGTCGCCCGTGTGGCGCAGTGGTTAGAGCGTCTGCTCTAGAGTCGCGGAGTAAGGAGTTGATTCTTACGTCGCGGGTTCGAATCCCACTGTGGGACGTGGAGACCGGTCCTTCGGATGAGACCGTATAAACCGAGATCCCATGTCGCAGTAGGTGCTGGCACAAAAAAGATCCCTCACTGCTCAATGGCCATAAATGCCGAGTATAGGACAAAATTTGCAGCTCTCCACCGGCAAGTGGTGGCGTCTCCATATGAGTGAAAAATTCTCGAGAGGGACGTTAAACAACATACAAACAAAACAAACCTTTCCTTTAAAAGATATAATGTCGAAATCTTTCCAATGAACAGAGCCAAGGGAAAATTGAATGCACACTTTGGTGCTAATATGGTTGATTTAATGACCATTTTAAATTTTTTTTACTTCAGTGCAATTATCCTGATTATGGTGCATGGCACAAGCCTTCAGCATATGCCAGCGAGTATGTTAATCTTTCTGTACGTCGATGCAAGTTTTTTAAGCTTTGTACATGCTGTAGTGTGGCAAAGCCTTAATTTGAAGAGGTGTGGAGCAACCTTTACATCTTTTGTGTGTGTATGTGAATTTACAAGAGTCTCACTTAGCCTATCTTCTTTTACGTGTTGGTATCACAGCTGTATCACGTATCACGCTCACAAACACCACAGTGAAAGGTTTAAAATATATGCACAACCAAACCTTTGTGAAATATCTGCACTTGACTGATATCACATGCATGACTTAATAATTTTATACGTGACTCGAATGACCTCTGATTTGTTTATCATGTAATTATTTTGAACTTGTCATTTACACCTTTATATAACGTTTCTTACTCTATACTTACCATGAGGGGTATTAACATACTAAAATAAATCACAGAATGACATCAAAGGTATAATCCAATAAGTATTTCTATGTTATTAGGTTCACAATCAAGCATCACGCCACAACAGTTACGATTAAGTAGTAATTCGTTCCGGTGATGACTCGGAATGAAATTTTACACAGAAAAAAAATGTTTATTACTTGAGTAAATTTGAGTAGAATAGGTTAATCAGACAATTTTTTTTTACTAGAAATAAACATGGTAAATGGAGAGGGGGGAGGGGGGAGGCATTAACAATGTTCAAATAGATATTTCTATATATAGTCCCTGATTAGACTAAGTGTAAAATTTATGCAGTTCTTTATATATACGATGGACAATGTTTAGCAATTCATGCACCGATCCAGTCCAGTCCACTCATATTTATTATTTTTATTTTTGAGTTTTCAAATTGTAGTTTTTCTCGGGGGGGGGGATGGACAAGTTTGCGTTTTTTAAAATTTATCTATTTATTTTTTAAGTTTTGGGTAAATTTCTCAGTTGGATTTTTTTTTTTGGGGGGGGGGGGGCATGGACCCCCCCCCCCCCCGGAAGAATTCCTGGATCATCTCCTTCGGAGGAAACAACAGTGAACATGAATCACTAACTCTAATGAATAAATAAGGTAAAGTCTTGGAAACCACATTTTACAATTACCGTAATCACACCTCATCAAGTCTAGAGACTGTAATTATTTCTCTTACACGGACAGGTAAGCAACTAATGATTAAAGTTTCCAATCTGAATACATGTACAAAAACTTGCAGATTTTCATATTTTGATTAGTTTACCAGCTTTAAGGACACATACAAGAAGAACTGAGCATACTTTATTTTTGGATGAAAGAGAACTCTGGTCTTGTCTACATTAGCCGTAGTATTTTAAAAATGCATTTCCCCTTCCGATCAAAACAGTTTATCATACACGTACCTCCATTATAAAGATATCTAATCTTTCTAAATTCTTTTTATACAATACATGTGCAGATGTTCCATTGTGACATACATCAGGGACATTGTATTAGAAAATATTTAAATGAATTTGTTCATTTGAAATTCTGTAAAATCAGTCGAGAAACATTTAAAATCGAAAAGTGTGATTCTTATATAGTGAGAACGTACTGTTAAATACTTTTGTAATCATACATATTTGAAGCAGTTTTTTTTAAATAAAGAATAAATTACAAATGAAGTGCATGTCTTGGACAAAGATAAATAAGATAAATAATTTCTAACTTCATAAAATAATTTATTTAACTTCTGAACTGAAGATGTGTTGATGGCAATATATGTGACTATAAAGGATAGAGATAATTCCAGTTCAGTTCATAACTAGAACAAAGAACCAGATACGTTTGATATATTACATGAAGTATAATTTTTTATATAAGTTGAACATAATTAATTGATACGAGTGCATGAAATAGAAACATGTCAACATTATGAATAATTCGAGAAAATTCGAACTTAGACTCGATGACGACTGCAAATTATGCTTAACAAATGGATTTGGCCATGTAGTGGATTTAAAGTTATATGGAAATATATTTAAATAATTCTTTAACCTTAAAGTTTTATTTTGTGGATTATAACTAAGGGATTTGAACATAAATTTTTCAAGGGCATATAAACAACGAAATCTAAATACTCTATGTTTATCGAGTGATTGATTAATATCTTTGTATATGGAAACGATGTGATGTTTTGTAATTAACGCTTTAATTCACGGTAAAATCAACAGAAAATTAACTTACCTGATGAGATCATTTGTTGCTTTGTAGAAAAATCGAGATCATTACATACCGGAAGTCGGCCATAGTATTAGTCTGCATTGCGCATGCGCTAGAATCAAAACCGAGTAAAGTGTGTAAGGGCCATTTTTTGATCATAAGTCGGTGTGTGAAAATACGGGTGTAAACCGTCAAATGACACCAACTTTTTTTCTCGATTTTTTGGGCATAAATAATCGAGAACTACCCATTTTTCGTAAAACGGCAACTCACTACAGTGATTACTGTAGTGACTTGGAAAACTGTAGTGAGTTGATTGATGTGTCAATAAGTACCTGAGCTGAGTTGAAGGTGTTTACAAACGCACACACACACACACACACACACACATATATATATATATATATATATATATATATATACTGAAACGCAAAAGATACGCAACATCATATTTTAGGGGGAAATATTACATATATAGGATAGAATTTTGTATCTAAAAAGTAAGGAATTCTTCAATTTTGTAAATATCGGTAATTTGGGCTTTAAAGGTATTGTATCTGTTTATCATAAGTAAATCAGCAAAGTTCCGAAAAATAAATTCCCCTATCATCTTTTCTGTAAGCGATGCCAAGGCTTCCTGAAAATGACTTAAGTAGGCATTTCCATTGCTCTAGCTGGAAAATCTCAAAATAAAGGTGATGGAGAGTGCAGATGCAAATATGACCTACATCACGCCTCAACAGTCTCTTACGTATCATTAGCATGAATGACAGTCTTTGGACCGGAAGTCCAAGGGTTACTACACTGCGCTTGGCTAGAGAAAATTCGACCTCATCATCTGAAAAACAGGCTTTTAAAAATGGCAAAGAATATTTCTTTCGCTCAGATCTCGAGATTGATGAACCTACAGCATCGTACAAATCAAGCTGCAATTGTTGTGCATGGCAGACTTGCACGCTGTAATTGAATGGCCGGGATGGGGGGTGTTTTAACAGTCATGTGTTACTTTCTAAAGTTTAACATTTTTATCAAATCTTTGATGTTTTCAAATCAAGTTTTACCTAAGTGTATTCATTTTTGAAAATCATTAGATAAAAAATTCAAATATTTGTAGATTACTACTTGTTGCGTTTCTTTTGCGTTTCAATATATATATATATATATATATATATATATATATATATATATATATATATATATATATATATATATATATATATATATCTAGCTCCAAAGCTGTCTCGAAATTTTGAGCTGGAGCACGTACTCGAAATATAGGTTATAAAACTTTCGACTATAGAACAAATTTTCCAAATGGAGTATGTGTTGCTGAAATCTCGAGTAAGCTTAAGAGCTTAATTTTTCAGTTGTGTACTCCAAGTGTCGTCTGCTTATATAAGAATGGCTACACACAGGCAAATGGCCCATAGGGAACGCGTTCCGCGCAATTTGATGTATAAGGTGTGTATCTGCACTCGTTGCAGAATTGGCACCACAATACATATCATTTCCAAGAGGAGACCGGGCGCATCAAGTCATGGTGGGATTTTCACACATTGCAGGTTTTTAAAGATTAGTATACATTGACTATATATGATAGAACTAATAATTTATGACACATCTGAAGGGAGACAACTCTTGGTCATATACTACTTTAACTTTCATAAAATAGTCTTTACACCTGTTTGTGAGTGTGGAAGAGGGTATAGGAGGGACTAGGTCTGCCCTCTCTTTGAATATTATATACTGATATTATACTTTCATGTAAATTAGTTGAATGAAATATATGGAGATAACGAACAGTATTCAAGCTCAAAAGTCCATTAAACAATACAAAATAGGAGCAGAGCAAACACGGACCTCCAAACATCAGAGGTGGGATCAGGTGCCATGGAGGAGTGAGCATCCCCTGCCGACCGGTCACACCCGCCGTGTGCTCCTTGTCATGATCGGGGAATAACGGAATAATCAGTCGACAATTCAGTGTGTAAATAATGGCCTAACAATTAGTATGAAAAACGTCAGTCAGCATTTGACTCAATGATAAATTGTATTTGCTGACAAGGTCATTGTATCGACCATAGAACTTACAAAATGATGAATTTAAACGAGACAGCTGATATTCTTGTTTCATCAACTTATTGTCAATAATTTACCTCGTTTTAGAAATTGTACATACGTAGAGCATGCTCTTGCGTATCGAATCAACTGAGAGATATATACCCCGTATGCAGGTGATGAAGGTATATTGCTGCATAAGTAAGGGAAGTTGACGATTGGAAAGTTAAAGTCATCACGTTTATCGTAAAGTTTTGTTGTTAGGCTACCATCAACGTCTTTAACTAGTAAAATATCCAAATATGAAACAGATGGGTCAGACTCTGTGGTATCTTTTATTTCAAGCTCACCGGGATATATCGTACGACATACGAATGGAAATAACCATTGTTAATTGACAATATGTCGTCGGTATATCTAAATGTCGAATTGAAGGCCACAACAAGTGTTTTCTTCTTTTCACGTATTAGATTTTGGACAAATTCTGCTTCATATGAATACAAAAATAATTCTGCTTATAACGGGGCGCAATTGGTTCCCAGTGAAATTCAAACAGATTGTTGAAAGATCTGGTCTCCAAAAACCACATAGATATTGCCAATCAGAAACTCAAGCATCTTTATAAAATCAAACTTCAAAGTACTTGTGTATACAATCAGAATGTTTTATAACAAAATAATTTTGCAAATGACCAATGACAAGGTTAATAAATTTACGAGTTCCATTTTTATTGAAAAAGCAGCTGTCAATGATGTCAAAAAGCCTGGACTTTAATATATCGTGGGGAATGGTTGTATATAAAGTTGAATAGTAAGTTTTTATGTTGTTGATTTTGGTAAAATTTTGTGATTTCAAATTTTCCAAAAGTTCCTTGGAATTTTTAAGTATCCACATCTGATTTACACCACTTCTCGAATATATTGTTCCACAGTTCTCCTGAGGTTTTTCCTTCACTACTGTTAATATCTTAGTGAGGAGTAAAGAAAGAAGCTTGGTATAACGTTTACTGGAACCCACTATGTATCTTTGTTTGTAAGGATTTTTATGAAGTTTCGGAATCCAATATAGATATGGTAATTCAAATTCATTTGGGTTGTTGGGAATATTAAAAAAATTCATAATGACATATGATTTTGAAGAATTTCCTTCTTAGAAAGGGAGCTATGGGTATAAGTTGGATTACCACTTGTAGAATTAAATCCCAGTTCCTCTAAAATACAATTTAAATAATGAGCCTTATAAATAAAGACAGTGTTGTTACCTGCTTTGTCAGCAGGGTCCAGTACATACTGATCGTGTAATCTATCTAATTCTGAATTATCGAACACAGAAGGATAGTTGGTTTTCATTTTGCCCTCAATCGCTTAACTCGAGATGTTAACATATATTTAATCCATTCTGACAACGTGTCTTTTTTATGTCTGGCTCATCACCTGGCGTAATCTTCCACAGAATCCATAATATTTATGAAATTATGACACCAGTTAAAAGATTGGGGTTCCCTAAATTTTGGCCCTTTTAAAATTAATTATTTTAGGTTCTCATTATTAACTATATTTACGTCACCAGCAATGACGTGTCCAGCAGGACTATTGTTGAAGGGTGAAGAAGAACATGAACATGTAGGAGGATTATTTCAGATACTCGATATTTAGGCACTGTAAATTTTTCTTGTTATTAAAAAGTTTGAAATCAATAGTCGTACATTTGTAGGAAATACAAGGTGTAGTCTTCACCTTGAAATATGGTGGAATACAAGACTGGACCCTTTTGTGATTAAGAATATTACTTATATTAACGCGTCAATTCCTCTATTGACATATTGGAGTTTAATGAAAAAACGGGTTGTTTTAGCTGCATTTTCTTCTGTAAAACGTGGCGGTTTAAAAAGCCTATGATTTGCAATATCCATAACCACAGACCCGAGCCTGTATTCTGGTGTCGAGGAATCAAAAAGTGGACTTTCCTTGACCTTCTTAAGTAGACTATTTAAAAGTTTCAAGGAAACATGCATTTCCAAATGTACTATGATTTTTAACCCCATGACCTTGAAGTTTGCCATAATTTTCAAAACTTTAAACATTGCTGATAACTTTTGAAAGAGAGAAGATACGGCATTTACATTTGACATGTGGATTAACTGTTTCAAGAGCTTTCCGATTGTATACTGTGGTTTTTACGTCGTTACTCTGACCTTTAAGCCTAAACTAAAGTGTTTTTCAAATTGATTTTACATTTGTAATAACTTTTGAATGAGAGAAGATGGGGTTTTCATATTGCTACATGTACATTTCCTATGACAACACCTTTCAGAAAAGTACATGTATATCATTTTTGAATTGACGACCTTGACCTGGATATTTGACCTACTTATAAAAAAATTTTAACCTTGACATAACCTATGCCCCAGAAGAGACAGAACTTTCATATTTTTTCACATGTGTATTACTTGTGACAAGACCTTTCGGATTGTATTATGTGACCGCATGACATAGATCTTGAAGTTTGATGTAGTTCTGAGAAGCTATATTCTTTGCCATAAGATTTCTGAATTCAATAATTTATTTCTTTTTGTATGATGCACAGACAAGACAGGACACACAAACAAGACAGCTACAATATGCTATAAATAATTGCATCCCATCCACTAAGACACCAAAAGCGGGGGACGACAATTCTTTGAATTTGTTTGTTATAGTAAAAGTGTTGTCTGTTGTATATTTTTTCTTCAATTATTATAAATCAGACGTAGATAAAGGTCATAAAAACAAGGAACAGGTATATTACGAACTTTATTTAACACTATTCATATTTAACAAAATAATTAACATTTAGTATATAACAAAATCAGCTATAACAGAACTTATTTGTGTCTATTTGGCTTTTGGTTAAACCAGAAATCTCTGATGAGACTGTAGCTCTACTGGTTTGTACTTATAACAATGGAAGATAAAAGTAGCACTTGGACTTGAAACTTTGCAACAGCAATACATAGAATAAGATCCTTAGTGTAGTCTCTTTTTGTTTTATTGAGATTTTTGTATTATCAAGATTTATTGCAATCAGACTAAAACTGTAGGAAGAGTAGCCTTTTAAAAGAATTTTACAGAAATTTTTGATTTTAGTAACCATGGTAACATCATTCAATAAAATCAAAAAACAATAGAGACAATTTTGTATATCTTAGTGTGGTCTGTGCAAAGTTATACTGAAAACTGATCAAAACTGTAGGACGAGTAGCATTTTGAAAGCATTTCAAGGAAATTTCTATTTTTAGCAACAATGGCAACACCGTTCATCGAAATCAAAAACCGATAAACAGAATTATGTATATTAGTGTAGTCTACTTGTGTGCCAAATTATACTGAAATCAAACCAAAACTGTAGGAGAAGTAGGGTCTTGAAAGAGTTTCAAAAAAATTTCTATTTTTAGTAACCATGACAACACCGTTCATCGAAATCAAAAATCGATACACAGAATTATGTATCATAGTCTAGTCTACTTGTGTGCCAAGTAATATTGAAATCAGATCAAAACTGTAGGAGGAGTAGAGTTTTGAAAGTAATTCCCAGAAATTTCTATTTTTAGTAATCATGGCAACACCATTCATCGAAATCAAAAACCGATATAAAGAATTATGTACCTTAGTGTAGTCTACTTGTGTGCCAAGTTATATTGAAATCAGACTAAAACTGTAGGAGGAGTAGCGTTTTAAAAAATTGTTTACAGACGGACAGACAGAAATCTAGACGGACGGACGACGGATACCTTACTATCGCATAAGCTCTTCTGGTCTTTGACCAGTAGGCTAAAAATAATAATACTTGTATTTTTGATTTGAATACGACACAGTAACATGCATAACTTCGAAGAATAAAAGCGTCCTTGTACGCCGTACCTTGTTTTTCAATTTCTGCAAGTTCGAATTTCGATAAGAACAGTTAAAAGATAAGTTTTAACCAAGAAAATGTATTTGTACAAAAAAGTGATTGATCGAAATCTGAAACACACAACTTGAAAATATAAACATTGGTGTTATACTAGTATTTCAAAGGTGTAAGTGCTAAGTACATGTATATTTAAGCACTCTATGTAAACACACTTTTATTTACAAATATATTTATATACAAATACAAATATATGTTTGATAAAAAGATTTTATTATATAAGAAACAATTTTTGTTAGAATAAACATATGAGTGTAATGAATGAAAAAAAAATCCCCAAAGTCACAATTACAATTTGAGAAAAGAATTCATTTTGAATATGAATAATAATAAAAATATTGACCAGACGTCACTAAATAGGTTTTAAGTTCAAAATATCTTGTTCATTTATTCCTGTACTTAAGAAAAGCTTGTTTCAAAAAAAAAATATAATAATGTAGGGCATGTATTTTATTGTATTTTATTTATATTATATATAGATAAGTTAGGTAATTTGTAAAATAGCATCAATAGCAGTGCTGCATTCCAATATATAAATATTGCATGTAGATGAGTGCAACATTGAAAATTTTCACCCCAAGAAAACCACTGTCAACCGAGGCGCAGCCGAGGTTGACATTGGTCTTCGAAGGATGAAAATTTTCAATGTTACACCCAACTACATGCAACATTTATTATATATACTGAATGTTTTATACAAATACATATAACACTTTGCGCGCATAAATTCTGCGCAGTCACTATTTTTTGGAATAACACCCGTCGTCAAGCAATGTTGACTGTTGCTACGCTGGAGAGCGTGACTTCATCATTCAGCGGGTAATAGTGTTTTATAACAAATGTTTCTCGACGAATCAGATTCAACTAATTTTCAAGAAAGTATAATATCCTAATTTAACATCATCAAAACGGAGAAAATATTCATCGTCACAATGTTTTGACTTAAAGCGAATTGAAGTGCAAAATAATATTTTAGGTTCAATACGATAAAGTGCTAAAATATTACTAAAATAAAGTGTTATTACTTAAGTTAATAAATAGATATACGTATATATATCTTGAAGGATATATATTTTAAAAATCATTGTTTTTAACTTTTATCCTTATTGACCTGGTTAAAAAAATGTGATGATGACTTTGAAGAAAATAACGTTAAAAGAAGGTGCAAGTGAAATCAGAGACCTATTGGAAAGATGTTCAAGGTTTACTCCACCTTTGTTTTCGTAAGATATGCGTTTTTTTTAAATCACAGACTTTCTGTGCTCTTGCAGTCAATGATCCAAATGGTGTTAGCACAACATTGTCGTTTTAAAAAAAGTTTTGAACAGTTCATGGTAAGCTGGTCATCGATTCACCTTAGATTCCAAGTTCTCCATCATCAAGTCATTTCCCTTGTTATCGTTTTTCTCATTTCATCTGTTATCGGTTTTTTCATCTCTTACACGCAATATTACACGTAAAAGAAAAAGTACTGCCACAAGAAAACCCGCCTTTATAAAAGGGAGAACTTTCCCAATAACATCACAAGCGGTTGAACAACACGTGATGCAGTTTACGATAGGTGGAATGACAACCAACAACAAAGCTGAAACAGAAAATTATTCAGTAATTAACGGTATTCAGAACAATTACTTTCTGTATTGACAAGAAGTTCTACGAAATGAAAAGTCAAGTTTTCATTAAACAGGAATATTCAGCAAGATAAGCCCCCTTCTCCAAGATGAACGTGACCCCCCCCCCCCCCCCACCAAAAAAAGGAGAGGAAACAGTGATTTGTCAATAGAGTAGTCCTCTTAGGAGAGGGCCATTCCTCCTTAAGGTATGTCATTCGTCACCTTTTGAGAAAATTAATAAGTTAACATAAATTACTTGAACTAAACAACGCAAGCTGAACACCATTTAATTATAAAACGCGCTGAAAATCGGCAAGAAATAAGATTTATGGGGAACTATATCTTGTGATTGAAGAATATTACAAATAAAATCTCAAAATGTACACGTTTGATTTATTCAGTATGTTCGAACTTTCAGCCTACAAATTTTTATTCGCGGATATTTTTACGTTATTATATGCCAGGAATATACAATGTGGGTTTCAAATGATATTCTTAGTACATGTAATTTATTGATAAAAGTCAAATAAAATGAAAGAAAAAGTGAGCAAGCTCACATACCCCACGCTCCCTCAAAACTCGACAATGCAACACGCAATGAATGGCACAGTGCATTTTAAATACACAGTTTAATTCATGAATTTGTTTATATACTGTACTTATGAAATTATTTAAGGCAAAGTACCAATTTGATGGGGGGGGGGGGGGGGGGGGAGGGGAAAACTATCCAAGATTTTGTGTGTGTGTTAAATCATTAATATTTTGATCTCAAAATCAATAGGGGTCTTTTAAGGTCATAAAATATTTCACATAAAGTTTCATTACAAAAGCTGATTCCAGTGGATTTCGTTATTACCTAGTTGGAAAGTTTCTTCAATAATAGGCATTAAAACTCTTAAGGCAAAAATAATGGAATCGGAATTTCCTGGTAATATGCACATCTACACACTGTGTACTAAATATCTGCAAACTTTGACCAAATTCTATGCAGCGGTTTAAGAGGAGTTGCACTGACAAACTGTTCATCTCTATATTCAAGATATGGCCAAAAATCGAAGTTGAAAAGTGCCGAAATTCCAAGAAAAAATAAAGGAATCGGAATTTCCTGGTAATATGCACATCTACACATTGTGTCCTAAAAATCTGCAAAGTTTGACGAAATTCTGTGCAGCAGTTTATGAGGAGTTGCGCTGACAAAAAAACAGGACTGACTGACTGACTGACTGACTGACTGACACACTGACTGACTGACGGACGGGTCAAAAACATTATACCTCACGCAACTTGTTGCGTGGGGTATAATTACTTTGTTTTTAGCCTGAAATTTGCATAATTTGACCCATATCTGAAAATTTATATCACTGACCTCAACTTTTTATTTCATTTTTTTTGAAAATACACGATAGTTCTGTCTTTCTGACATATTTTCTGTTAATAATGCAGATTTTTATTGATATTCACGGGATGAGGGGGTTAACATGTGATAAAAATGATTTTCATCGCGGTATAGAAATCTGGTAATGTCGGCAAAATGAATTTTGACGTCAAGGCGTAGCAGCGAGCATATCTAAAAATTTTGTGTAGGGCTGAAAACTCCTGTTCAGACAAAACGACCTTCTAAAACAATAACAATGCGAAGAAACATGTTTCTTTTTATTGGCATATTTTTTTCTCAAATTATTCACCTAGAATGAAAACAAAGGTGCCGGATGACCCTCTATTATTACGGACTAAATAACGTAGATCTGCATTGCAAAAGTTAGTACTGCATGATGCTAGTAAAACTGTGCATGACACTTCATGCAATTTTACATTGGGGTGACAACAACAAACATCTTATTTGTTAAAAAATCGTTTAAGAAAGAGAGAGAGAGAGAGAGTTTGATTTATAGAATGTTGTATGACTGTAGAGAGAAAAAGAAGAGTTGATGCTTCCCGATCTTTTCAACATAAGAAAAAAATCTTCGGCTGAAGTGACGTTAAATGACGTAGCGATGCTGCTATGTCGATGGACATATGCAAGTTTATTATTGGATCGGGACTTATCTAATGATCGTATTAACAAGAAATTTTGCACAATTGTTTTATTTGCTCTTGAAAAAAAATGTTGATGAATTTTCTTGAATTTATCTCTTTCTTTTATGAAGTAAAAGTAAATGTCTCATTAATTTCCGAGCAGCCCTCGTATAAGCAGTGTCAGGAGTGATATACCTTAATTTTGCATCAAAAAATGATGAATTTAAAAAATAAAAATACGTTATCGCTTATTATATTTCGAAATGCAAAATCCTTAAATAAATGAATTTAAAGTGATAGCTAAAGCTGTCTTTAAATGCTACGAAATGTATACTTATAGTAAATAATGACATGTAAAAAATTACCCGATACAAAATATGCGTAATTTAGTTTCCCATCTTCTTCTAGCATGTCAGGTATGCATTTTTTCCCTGTACAGCAGATTCTTTGACAGATTGCATGAGAAATATGAAATAGCAAAGCAACAAAAACAATCCAGTCTAGCACAAAGAAACCAATCTTTGACGTCCGTAAACACTTGTTCTCCTTTGCATCATTTGAGATTAATTTGTTGTATATTGGATCTTTTTCATTTGTTTTATTCTGTTCCGCAGTACAGTCTTTTGCATTTTTATTTTCTAAAAGAAGAAAAATATCGCATTGTGCACACTACTGTCAATATACATGTACATGAAAATATAAATTTTAACGTCTCTCGAATAGCATACGTAAAAACTTCTACAAGATCAAATCGTTTTTCTTGGAAATGATAAGAGACTTATCAGCTATCCCATTTGTTATATGAAAATTGAAGAAGAAGCTTAGAGAAATCTGCTCAAATGCAGCTGACATATAGCTTCATATAACTGGTATACTCAGGACCAATAATCTATCTACAGAATAGGAGAAAACATCTGTTTTAAATACGAATAAAATACAGAAATTTATTTTATTTCAAAACAATATTACCTTGCTTGGTACAATTCATAACTTTCGAGTTGAAGCTACTCGTATACTGACAAGGGTATTCGGTTCTGTTATTACATGGAGGCAGTGAACCACAATCGTTTCCCAAGCAACTGCTACATTCTAGTTTCTAAAATAATTTGTTATAATATTTTACTTGGTATTTCTCATACACGTGTGTATTACAAATTTCTTGCCATCGGGATATCAAATGTTATAAAATTTTAGGCTTTTTAATTTAAATAAAACGTACATTGTAAAGCATACGAAAAATTGTAGCATACAATAATATAAAATTGTATCAATGATTTTTTTTACCTCTAATTAATTATAGCACGAGCAAATGAATAATGGATTCACATGAATAATGGATTCACATTCACTTTGAAAAGCCAATTTGACCAAACTACAAGAGGCCCAAGGGCCTTAACGGTCACCTGAGTATAATGCAACAATCCATAGAGTATAAAATAAACTGAAAGGTGAAGCTTTGTTGCCCAAAAGCATGAAAAATAGGATGACCAGGATCAACAAAATAATTAGTCTAGTATTCATTAACAGTTCATAAATTAGGTTCTAATCTGTTCCCCACTAATCACAATCACCATACAGTCTATTAACAAACTATCAGTGCTTCTGTACTATTTTAATCCCTTGACGAAACCTTTTACATTGGTCTCTCTTCATCTTTGAGGAATATTTAATAAGACAAGTTATTTTTGTCTCATTTTCATTATCTATTACTTACAAGTCTACCTGATCATTAAAACTATGAGAGTACTTTTTGTATTATACAATAAAAATTCTTGCATAATTCTCTTATTCTATTCACCTGTCAGGTACATTATTGATAGTGATTAATTATCAAAAGTAAATGGCAAAGGGGAATAACTCCTCTCAGTAGAATACAAATTAATAGAGCCCTGGCCAGGACCAGAACACTTGACTAAATGGTCCAGATGTTAAGAAATCTGGTAAAAATGGCCTTCCTTATGAAAACTTTTACTATTTTTGCCTCCGATATACCCAGGTGCAGATAAGATTTTTAAAGAAATACTGCATTTTTTACTACAGATTCAACACAGCCCTACCCTAACACAGAACCCATGACCCAGGTTCATGAAATTTACAGATTTGGAAAAGATACCCTCATCATCATAACTATGCACTTAGTTGAAGATTTTCAAAGAATTAACACATTTTCACTATATATTATCAATGGAGCCCCCCTTTCCCCACCGAGAAACACCAGAGCCTCTGACCCTGGGACCAGAACTTTGCTCATCATAACTAATCACTTTGTTTATCTGCTTAACACTAAGGAGAAGACAGGATTATTAAATAAAATTAATGCATTTTCACTACATTATCACGAGCCCCGCCCTTACACCAGCACTTCTGATACAGGGGTCATGAAATTCACTACTCTGGAAGAAGCACTCTTGCTCATCATATCTATACACTTAGCTTCTTTGCTTTTTAACCAGAAGCAGAAAAGAATATTTTCAAAGAAATTATAATTTTTCACTATATAATCAATAGAGCTCCCCTCGCTTTTCACCAGGCCCCTTGACCCTTGGGCCATGAAATTCACAATTTGGAAGAGGCATCCTTGCGTACCATAACAATATACTTAGTTTGTTTAAATAATACCCAAGGGCAGAGAAGAAGATTTTCAAAGAAATAATTCACCTTCACTATAGGATCTATATAGCCCCGCCCTAGCACCAGAACCCCTGTCCCTGGGGCTATGAATTTCACAATTTTGGAAGAGGCATCCTTGTTTATCATAACAATGTACTTAGTTTGTTTAAATAATACCCAGGGGCAGAGAAGATTTTTTAAAAAAAGAATTAATGCATATTCCCTATATATTTAATACAGCACCGCCCTAACACTAGAACCCCTGACCCAGAGGCCATGAAATTCAAATTGGAAGAGGCACTCTGGCTCATCATAACTATGTACTTAGTTTTTTTAATAATACCCAGGAGCAGAGAAGAAGATTTTCCAAGAAATAATGCATTTTCCCTATATAATCAATAGAGATCCACCCTAACAGCAGAACCCCTGATCTAGGAGCCAAGAAATTCACAATTTTGAACGAGACATCCTTGCTCCTCATAACTATTTATTTCATTTGTTTAAATAATGCCCAGGAGTAAAGAAAATAATTTTCAAAGAAATAATGCACTTTCATTATATGATCTATATAGCCCCTCTCTAGCACCAGAACCCCCGACTCTGGGGCCATGAAATTCACAATTTTGGACAAGGCACCCTTGCATATCATAACTATGTATTTAATTTGTTTTAATTATACCCAGGAGTAGAGAAGAAGATTTTCCAAGAAATAATACACTTTCATTATATGATCTATATAGCCCCGGCCTAGCACCAGAACCCCTGACCCTGGGGCCATGAATTTCAAAAATTTGGTAGAGTCACCCTTGCTTACCATGACTATGTATTTAATTTGTTTCAATAATACCCAGGAGTAGAGAAGAAGATTTTCCAAGAAATAATGCACTTTCACTCTATGATCTATATAGCCTCGCCCTAGCACCAGAACCCCTGACCCTGGGGCCATGAAAATTAATAATTTTGGTAAAGGACTCAATGCTTATTACAATCATGCCAACAGTTTGACTGCTTGATGTCCAGGAGTAAAGAAGAAGATTTTTATAGATTACATTAATTTTGGTGGTTTAGCCCCACCCCTCAGCTCCCAGGGGGACAGGGATCATGAAATTCACAATTTTCGACCCCTTCATCCATAGATGCTATATGCCAAAATTGGTTGAAATTGGTTCAACGGTTTATGAGAATAAGCTGAAAATGTTCGAAAGTTTTCGACCGACGGACGACGAACGACAAAAAGGTTAGCAATAGGTCACCTGAGTCACTCAGGTGACATAAAAATAGGAACCTATTTTTTCAAAATTATATATTAAACATAGCAAGTTTTCAACCTCATCTCCTTTTAAGTATTTGGAAAAGCTCATTGCTTCAATTTTTTGACAAAAATTACATTGAAAAAAATCAAAAAAGAGTGAGTACAATGAATTTATTTGATTAATACATTTAGAAATACAGGTACTCACTTTTGGTAGGTGGCAATAATTCCCAGTAAAATCTACAATAATAAAGCGTATACTTTTATCTAAAGAGTAAGAAAGGGTGAATAAAAAACACAAAACTTACTGTAATGTCTTTACAGTGTCTATATTTATCTTTTTCTCCATTTCGAACTATTTCATTGTAATTTATTGGACAGGTACAGGTAAACTGTTTTCGTTTCTCTTGGATGACTTTTTCTGGCACTGTCCATTAAGTTATGCGAAAGAAAACTAGTTAGCTTTTTGAATTTTTCACTTTAGTTTTTCAAGAGTAGGCGTCATGGAGTCACTGTTTTATACTGATAAATATAAAAATCACTGTGCGACATTTTTAATAAATACTACGTAAATTGATTAAATATAAATGATTTCTATGAATTCTTTGTGTTTATGACTGGGGACTGTATAATATTATTGTTATATTGAACTTTTTATTACTACAAGGAAGAGCCCTAACCTCTTATGGCACTGGCATAATGGGTTGTGTATCGACTTTTCTTTTGATTTGAGGATAAACCCTTTTATTGCAGTGCATGTCCAAGAAAAGGTATATATATATAAAAATGTTTTAACATCTTTATCTACCGATATCTAAAAAGAACTCACTGCATGTGAACTTAATGTAATGGATATATGCCGAATACAGTTCTGTATGAAAAAAATACAGTTTGAGGCCCGTTAGGGCCTTCTGCTATTTTTTTTATACAGAATTGTATGAGACATATATCGTACTTAAAACATTGCCCGTTAAGGTATGTCACTCGTCCGCTTTTGAGAAAAGTTTGGTCAGAACCTGTAACTTCAAAATTATTTACACAAATCAATTTTTACGACGTATTTGATTTAAGCAATGCAAATTATACAATATCCAATTTAAAATCTGCTCACAAAATTGTAAAGAAACAAGATTTAGGGGGAACTATTTTATGTGGTGGAAGGATATTTAGAAGAAAATTCTTCAAATTAAACATTTGTTTGATTTAATATCTTGGAACTTTAGCCCTACATACTATTATTTTTATTTGGAAAATTTCCCCCCCTTATTTTATGCTAGGAATACCAAATATCAAAAAACTGCTCACTAATATCGGACTGCCATGGGTAAATTTTTTTTTTTTACTGAAAGAACAAAGGAATGACATCACAGCAATGTTTTATAACAATTACAAACACACAGCCACTATCTTTTAAATAAGTTTGTTCTCGAATATCACTCAAACAAGCGCAGTTTTTGTTCAGGAAAATGCTCTATAATAGCTAGTTATTTTAGGTGTTTGCTAATACCATTTCCAACTACATTTTACGGATTTAAAATCAGCATAAATTTCATTTAAAATATTTCACTTTTTAGGTCTGGTACAGCATCTTGTTAAATCAGGTGACTGATAAGGTAATAATTTAATTAGGTCTTCAAAACTTGTATACTCATTTGGAATCAAAACCAATAATACAAACCCAAGTAAGCTGTGAAAACTAATCAAAACAAATCGATTGTATTTGTGAAACTCAAGATCGAGACAAACCGTAAATAGAATTGGTGACATGTTAGTAAACATTTAAAAACAAAACAACATTTCTATATTTTTTTACTCAGTAAAATGTCTATATATCCGAATAACCGATAAGCAGCATGATAACCGATTCTGGCATCGTTAGACCGTGAACTAAAAAAACCAGGTACTCGTTGACAACACTAATAACAACAGGACTTCTAGATGAGTGCCGAAATACTACAACTCTAAGCAATAATATCTTAAATACCAGTAGCTAACATATCAAAATAAAAACAGTATAATTAGGACAAAAAAAGAGACGCCTATGGGCCAAAACGCTCACCTGAGTAATGTTGCCACTGGTGTTCTTCTTCGAATTCAGATTTTAAAGATTCCCCCCTCTATATTTCAATGCAAAAATTTCAACCCCATATTGTGCCCAATAGAAAAGATTCATATTTGTTCAAAGCTTGCTCCTTGTAGTTAGGATGTGGCCTTATCAGGGGGTTAACGTATTACATGGGAATTATTGAAAAAAAATTTTAGAAATATTTTCACAGGTAGATTCAAGATTATTCTAGTTATGGCCCCTGGGATTAAAGTAAAGGCTACAATAGGATATCTGAATTTTTAACAGAAAGTTATAGAAGTACCATTTCCTGGGCAGCTACATACTCCACAGTCGCTCTCTGTAAGAAGACACTTTGTCCCACAACCCACCTTGATGCCACCATTTTGACAGTCTGGAAAAAGAGCTGAACAGTTGTTGCCTAAAAAAAAAACACAAATACAGAACCCTATGGAATTTGACCATTACAATTAACATTGCTGCATAGGGGTATACAGTATTGGTATCATTTAAACAAAATTTAATAAGTGAAAAAATGTCAAACATTAATTTTGTTTACATATGCAGATAAAGTTAGAAGGATTCCACTAACATTGGTAATTTTTCAGTGTGAATGGTCCACATGTCCCTTTAGGATGGTGTATTTGCTTTGTACAAAGGCATTTCTTCAGAAGATATAGATCACCAACACAATGTTCATAATCAGTTATATTTTCTAAAGAAAAAAAAAGAGAATTCTTCGTCTACTTTTTAAGTAAGTATTCTTAATTTACATGAATAAGAATAAAATAATTCAGACCAATTAATCTGTTTATCAATTTATAGAATTTCATTTCAATACCTTGAACATCTTGTATAGTGACTAGACTGCAATCTCGATGTTTATCAACTCCTACAATGTAATTTTTCTATCAGACATATATATATATATATATATATATATAAACAAAACAAAATTTGAAATTAATTGGAATAAGCCACAAGTATGTTCTCTTCTTTTTTTAATACATATAATACACATAGATAAAGATTCTGAAAAGCATATCGACTTGATGTTTCTAATAATGGAAATAATCTTCCATAAAACAACAAAAGTGTTGATTTCACAATAGCTAATGTGACTAGATGTTTCTCAAAAAAATATACTTCAACTCTTATTTATAATTGTGAAGTTCTCTAATAATGGTTAGATGTAACAAGGAATAAGGATCTACTTTATATTAAAACATATTAGATATGTTTCTTCAAAAATTGATACAAAACATAATAAAACAAATGTAGTCTTTTAAGTTAGTAAATTCCCTATTCAATATAAAGGAAACACAATTTCATTAAACAGCTTAATTTATTTTTATCTCTAGTATCTAAGTGTTCAAAAAAGACAAGAGAAAACTTGTGGCTTGTTCCCATTATTTTCAAATTTTGTTTTGTCAGTCTCTGTAAAAAAATAAAACAAATGTAGCCCTTTAATTCGGTCAATCCATAGATATATCGACTTAACAAAAGAGCATATCGACCTCGCACTTCGTGCTCGGTCGATATGCTTTTCTGTGAAGTCTATATATCTATGGATCCACCCCATGAAATAAATAAATAAATAAATAAATAAATAAATATATATATATATATATATATATATATATATATATATATATATATATAATACACATGTATTTCAAAATATCATTTGAAAAAATTCAGCTGTTATGAGGCACATTGTTACCAACATTCAACAAAATGATTAAATTTGTAAAGTACCTTCGATGTATTTTTCATAATTAATGGTCAGGAGACACCGAGTGGAATTTGAAAGAGCTGTGTCTGAAAGAAAAATTGTTATGCTTAAAAACATTATCTTTGTTTGTTTTGTCTGTTTATTTATCATTATTATGTCGCCCCGAACGAATTCGGACGACACATTGCTAATGTACGCCTAAAAACGTTGTCCGGGGACGTTCTCGCAGATGACTGGCACAATGTTCCTGAAATTTTCCACAAAGGACAATCACTAGTTGTACTTTGGCAGTGAAGACTTTCAGTTTCAAAGTGGCTACCATTGCCAGGGAAACGTACAAAAAGTGAGGAATTTTGTCCGGGGGTGTCCTCAATGGTCCCTTCACATTCATCGTGAAAGGACAAGATGATAGGCTAAAACCCCTTTTTGGCCCCTTGTTTGTGGTGTCTTTTAGAATGATGCAACAGTTTATCAATAAAAACCTGTTGTCACTCCTGCCACAAAATGAATATTGGTTCTAAGGATGCACTGAGGTCACAGGGAGGTCAGAAAATATGCCAATTTCCGAATTTTCTCATTTTTATGCAAATTTCCATTGATTTTACTGCATATTTTGTTTCAGAAAACATACAGCACAAGCTTGCCTATCTACCAAATTTATATATTTCATACACTAGTATCAGATGCATCTTATGTATAAAAAATATCAGATAGGCAAAAACTACAAACTATCCCAATTTTAACTGTGTTCTGATTTTTACATCAAATAAGGGACTAGATTCGGCCGTTACCATATCTTATACTTTACAGAAATGATGAACAGTTATTGTAGTTGTGCAATTCACATTTCAAATTGCAAATCGTTGCCATGGAAACAGAGGAAAAGTGAAAATTCTTTAACTTCGATTTTTTCAGTAACCGTTCAAGCAATCATTTTGAAACTTTAAAGGATGATTCCTTGCATTGTGACAAAGTGGTTTCTATTTTACAAAAAAAAAAAAAAAAAAAAAAAACCCTGGAATTGGCCGCACACAGTTACCAGAGAAACGAAACAAAAAAGGTATTATGCTCACATATATTCTCAGAGGTGGCTTGGATAATCTTGATGAAACTTTACAGAAATTATAATTAGAAACACTAGATGTGCAGTTCAAATTTTCAAAATTCCTACCGTTGCCATGGAAACGGACGAAAAGTTAATTTTTTTTCTATTTTTCTCAGTAAGTACGCTAGCATTCTTTTGGAAACTTTAAAGGTTAATTCCTTCTACTGAATCAAAATGGTTTCCGAAAAAAAAAAAATGGGTTCAATTGCAGTAGGTCCATCGCTTCAGCCACCGGAACGAAGTCGTATTTTGGTTCACCTTAGTTTTGTACTCGAGTGTTCTCATAGATGGCTTTCAAAATCTTCATGAACTTTACAGAAATAAAAATCACCAACCTTAGTTGTGCATCTAATATTTCATTTTTCAAAATTTGTCGCTGAAGCCAGGTAAAGAACAAATGATTTAATAAAAGTCGCGGTCACGTGTCCATTGTATGCTATCAGAATTTTCTTTTAAAAAATTATTTATCCTTTTTTTTCTCCGACATTTTTGTTATTGAATATATTTTTGTGAGATTTATAAAGCTATAAGTCTATCTACAGATTTAATACACGTTTTCAAGTTCTTTGTACGTATGTCCAAAAACGTTGTAACAGTACATACGTTCATTTCTGATTTTTTTTAAAATCAATTTTTTGACGTTATGTTTATTATCTATATCGAAGTTGTCAAGTTACAGTAACTGTGCTATGGTAATACATATTTGTTATGAGTGCAGAATGAACCTCTTTGATGAGAAAAAAATGACTATTTGTTGATTTCATATGTGTTAAACTCTACAAATAATTCACTTTTATTTTCAGTTATATTCGTTAGAACTGTTGATTTAGTGTGAAAGCACTGAGTTAACACGGAGTGTGTTTCGTGTGCTAAATAAACCTCCGAAGGAGGTAAAGAGGACGGAATACTTTCTTGATGCCATTGTCGGAAGTTTGTAGGAAAAACTTCGGTTGTATATTAAGAACAGTATAAATAAAAAGTATGTTTTTGATAAGTGTCGATTTTTTCTGATAATTTTTTTGTTGAGTTATGCTTTATTTTCATATGCAGTTTTCAAATAAAATTCTGTTAAGTAATAAATGTAAAGGCAAACAAGAGGCCCAAGGGCCTTAACGGTCACCTGAGTATAATACAACACTGTAAAGGATCCAAAGAAGTATAAAGCAAAAATAACTGAAAGATGAAACAGTGTTGCCCAAGAATTTCAAACATAGGTAATCAGAGATTACAGAGATCACCTTATTGAATGTTGTCTTTTAGTAAGGCAAAGTGATAATCTAGTAGTGTGCATCCCTAGATGTAACATTTGTGCTATTTTGATCTGATAGGAATTGCAATTATTTGGGAATGGACTTACTTAAAAACTTTAAACTAGTCACTCATCCAGAAAATGTAAGTCATATCCAGCATCTGAAGCAAGTTTGAGAGTGTTCATCCTGTGATACATCATCCATGCAAGTCTGGTTCATATAGCCCTTATAGTTTACTTAAACCTGGTCACTCATCTGGAATATGTAGGTCAAATACAGCATCTGAAGCAAGCTTGGTAGTGTGCATCTTTAGATGCATCATCCATACAAATTTGTTTCAGATAGCCCTTATAGTTTCTTGGTAATGGACCTGCTCCAAAAACTTTAACCTGGTCACTCATCTGGAAAATGTAGGCCAGCATCCGAAGCAAAGCCAATACTGTGCATCCTTAGATGTATCATCCATGGAAGTTTGGTCAATATAGGGCTTACAGTTACTTGTAAATGAGACCTGCTCAAAAACGTTAACCTGGTCACTCATCCAGAAAATCAAGTCAGATCTTGCATCCAAAGCAAATCCAGTTGTGTACATCCTTAGATGTATCATCCATGCAAGTTTGGTCAATATAGTGCTTATAGTTACTTAAAAATGAGATCTGCTCCAAAACCTTTAATCTGGTCACTCATCCGGAAAATGTATGTCAGATCCAGCATCTGAAGCAAGTCCAGTAGTGTGTATCCTTAGATGTATCATCCATGCAAGTTTGGTCAATATAAGGCTTATAGTTACTTGGAAATGAGACCTGCTCCCAAAACTTTGACCTGCTCCAAAATATTAACCTGGTCATTCTTTAGCTGCAATTGCAGCATCTGAAACCTTGACTGGTACAATGAAACATACTAGAAGCATCCTCTATGCATCTCAGATTAATATCAGTCATAGAAGTACTTGAAAAGAAATCTGCTCCAAAAACTTTAACCTGGGACGCCGACGCCAAGGGTATTTTATAAGCCCCCCCCCCCCCAATTCATTGAGATGAGCTAAAAATCTGGTGAAAAATACCCTTGCTTATTGTGACATGCTAGACCTGAGTAACCTCCTGGGGATCGTACTTGGTTTGTCAAAGTCTTACAAGGATAATATACAAATACAATGGACACTTGCCTAATGTGTAAGATATTTAATATATATACACATATGTTTTTGTCACTTGCCTAGTGCTACAATTAAGTATACAAAGAGAAATGTCTTATGCCTCTATATTTACTTGAGGTGATGCCTTTTGGCTATGCAAACAACTTAGCTGCTTGCCATTTGCTAATACTTGGTACCAACACTGGCCTCTTGGGTATACAAACAACTTGGTGATACTTGTTACCAGCACTCACCACTTGGCTATACAACATGGCTATTTGCCACTTGTCATTAACTACAACATGTCCACTAGTCACACTGATTACTATGATGAAGAATGTCAACTTGGTGCAGACATTTATTATAACAACTAATCCATGGTCTATATGACTTTACCTACCAATGTCATCAGTTGTTAGTCAGGACATCAAATTTTATCCACTTGTGTACAATGGGCTAATTCTGCTACATAAATAATCTTTATGTAAATTTTCTATATTGCTTTACAGGCAAGAATCTGACTTTCAGAATGCTTTCTATTTAAAAAAAACATTCATTTTTATTTTGTTTCTAAATAAATAACATTCCTTCTTGTATTCACAATCAATCAAATAACCTGTTAATGAAATTATATACAAGGATTTCTTAATTTAAAAATATAGCAAAGGCGAGTAACTCTCATTTGCCTCACTTAATGCAATTTTGAACTCTGTTTGCATCCTAGATACCCAGGAGCATTTTAAAGATTTTAAAAGAAATAATGCATTTTCTCTATATGATCAGAGCCCTGCCCTAACATCAGAACCCCTGACCCTGGGGCCATGAAATTCATATTTTTTTAAAGAGGCACTCTTCATCATCATAAATATGTACTTAGTTCATCAGCTAAATATCCAGGAGCAGAAGAGAAGATTTTTAAAGAATTAATACATTTTCACTATATAATCATTAGAGCCCCGCCCTAGCGCCAGAACCCCTAACCTTCGGACCATGAATTTCACAATTCTGGTAGAGGGTTCAATGCTTATTACAATCATACTAACAGTTTGACTGCTTGATGTCCAGTAGTAAAGAAGAAGGTTTTTAAAGATTGCATTAATTTTGATGGTTTTAGCCCGACCCCTCAGGCCCCAGGGGAGCAGGGGCCGTGAATTTCACAATTTTTACTCTCCTTCACCCATAGATTCTATGTGTCAAAATTGGTTGAAATTGGTTCAGTGGTTCCACAGAAGAAGCTGAATATGTTCAAAAGTTTACGATCGATTGACGACGAACGACGACGGACGAAAACAGATAGCAATAGCTCACCTAAGTGACTCAGGTGACTTAATTTTCATGATTTTACAAATTTCATTACTGGTTAAAATTTTTGTAGGGTTTTGATACCTTCTTGAAATATTTTAGACAATAAATATATTTTTTAACATAAAATAAAAAAAGAAAGTTTATCGAATCTTCACCTTTTTCATTCACTATGTAAAAGATTAATCAGTCATCACTACTGTCCGAATTTCACAGGGTCCGAATTAATATGATGACACGTACGCACTCCTTTACGCAGAAAAATCCATACACGCTCCCGAGTAAGTAGTTTTGAATTGTAAAATCAAACATTAAAAAATTACCTGTTTTGTTCTTGTTGCTTCCTTTTAATCTGGAAGTATCTGTTGATGAATTGTTATTTTCTTGAAGGAAATCCGCCAATGAATACAGATGGAGTACCTGTACATTAAAGGGAATCGGTCAGTAAAGATTGTAGTTGTACAGAATAATTTTTTGGAATAAAATTAAAACATTAAGTATTCATACACTAGAATGAGACATCCATATATATATATATATATATATATATATATATATATACAACTCACCAGAGAAACTGAAAATAGGACCTGTAAATAAAAATGTTATGGATGAAATGCATTTCAAAATTTTGAATTATCAACATACTTGTTTTGAAATTTTACTGCGCATTAAGAAGTACTTACAATGACTAAAATGATTTTTTTATTTCCTTTTAGCCTTTGTCTGTTTTCGGCATTCTTCTGAAATTTTAATTCATAATATTACAAAACTTATAAATTACAATCACGAACAAAAATTGTTAAAAATGTTCACTTTTTGCTGAAAAGTTAGTACAAGAACTGTACGGCATTGAAATTTTCCATCTTAATTACTTTAAAAAGATGAATTTTATTTCATCTTAAAATGCCCTTTTACCTAAATCTTAGAAGAATTTATGTTAAGAAAGATTACTTTGTTAAACCAAATGTTTGAACTTTAAATTTACTGTGTTCTCAAGAGGTTAAAACTCCAACATTCATTTGGTAATTTTTATACAAAGCCTCAAATCTACAATAAACCAACTTGTATTTTTTTTTCAGCAGATATATGTATTTAAATGTTATAAAGTATACATGCGCAACTTTACGTAAATGTAAAATGCCTCATTTTTTGTATTATATATTTTCTATTCTGTTGAATTTATCAAGATTGTTTAATCAGCTGAGCCATGTGGTTAAAATATGAAAAAAAAACCCGAAACTGCTATGTTAAATAATGGACTATTCAGGATGTTATCCTAAGTTTGAAATTGAACCTTTTAAATTAACTGTAATTTAGAATATTTTGGTATATTCAAACGTTCAAATTAAGATAGATTGGACCATCTCTATTTAGAGGAAGATGGCGTTCATTTTTCCGAGAGAATCAATACTACATACATGTAACATGCAAAAAGTTATCAAGGAAGTCACGAAGTCGTATATTATGCAGATACTCTTTTCAAGTCAAGCAAGAGACCCATGGGCCACAATACTGACCTGAGTCACACTAACACTGTTTTTCTTGAGAAGACCCGAAAAGTGTTTTCTTCAATATTCTTCCGAATTAATTCATACGAATTACTATGTCCCGGTTCTTCTTAAAAAAATTAAACAAATTTTCTTATTTATTTCCATGCAATTACTTATCCCTCCATTACCTTGGGAGACGATTTTGATTTTGAACTGCACTTTCTGAGGACGCTTGCATATAAATATGAGCAATCATAATCCTGCACTTCCTGAAAGGAAGATTTGAAAAAGAAATCCCAAAATATTTCCATGTAAAATTTTGAGCCATTATTAATTGTGATTGTGGCCCACCTACCCCCCCCCCCCCTCTCCCCAACAGTCCATCATTTTATCATTTGAACAAATTTGAATCAGCACCCGAGTGAAACTGTACATAAGAATGCCTGCATATTAAATGACTATTCATTACTCTGCTGTTCTTCAGAAGAATGGTTTTTTTTCTATAAATTAAGATCTCTCATTGGGGTCCCATCTTACCCTTGAGGGGTAAAATTTAATCAAAATTTAATCGATACTATCCAAAGAATTCAGGCATATCAAAATTATAAATCATGGCCCTGGTTTTCTTCAGTAGATTTTAGTTGAAACATTTTCCCTATACATTTATTTTCATTGATAAAACTTTGATCCTGTATTGTGGTTCTATCCATCAATTTATCGTGACATTAATACGCTTTCGTGCATCCCCCTCCTTCCCAAATTTATTTCTTAGACAAATGATTGCCAAAACGATCGTTTTTATTTCCCAATATTTCAAACCTATTCCATTTATCTAGTTTATACAACTTTCTGTGTTTATTTCGTCTTTTAGTTAATTTATGTTTGTTTATATAGACACTTGAATAAATTTTGCACTTTCACACTGAAATATGCCTCTTGTAGAAAAGCAGTGTAAAATATACTCAAACTCCAATACTTTGTCTGACGTAAAAATCAAATATTAATGAGTTATTTCTTCTATGAGTGGCTCTAAACATGTAATTAATAAGATTTTGTAAAAATTATGAAATGCCAAAAGTCTTGGGAACAAGTGTTATAATCTTGCTAAATACCCGAGAATTGTTTTTGTGGGATTTTCATTTTAATTGTGGTAAAATAAAATTTATCTTGATAATCCTAGCGAAAAAAAAATAACTTCTGATCAGAGAAACTAATCTACAAATGAAGCAGTATACCTGTTCGGGCTCCTTTTCCATCGGAATAAACTCTTCCCTCTACATTGACAACAAAATTGATTAAATATATGCAGATTTACAATATAAAACAACAGTTTACAAAAGCACAGAAAGCTTAACGAAATAATTATGATATGTACCTCTGGCTGAGCAGTCGACATGTTGGACTCAGTGTTTGATTCCATTGAAGACATGCAAAATGAACGTTTGGCTTTATCTGCTCCAGAATCAGACAGAGTTCTCCGTGGACTGGATCTTTTTATTGACGGGGAATTAGATGCAAAAACTTCTTCTGCTTCAGATTCTTCAGTCGCTACAGGAACGTAACCTTGCTCAGTGTACGACTTGGAGCGGTTGAAAGTACGTTTCATAATATTCCTTTCTTATTCTGGAAGTAAAAAAGAAAAACCCAATGACAGTTCATATGTGATGCAATAATCAAAACAATTGCATGAATTAATAGGGCTAATTCTGAGCAAGTACAAGACAATAGAAGATGATATGACCCACATACTTTTTAAGGAAGACATGAAATATATATCAATGGAGCTTAAAATAACTTGCTCATTGAAAAGAAATGGTGTTATACAAGCTTAAGTATAAGTGTATCTCTTAAAGTAATTATCCAATATCCAATTAAGACATTGTTTCTCCTTTACCTCGGGATAATAAGTACATTATTTTACTTACTTAGTCTTCAAATATGATATTAAGAGGCAGTCCACCAGAAAACCAGGCAGTATTGTATTAATAGGCGGCACATCGAATGTGACGAATATTTGATATTTTATTGAAAATGATATTAATGTAGTCCATATGGAATAATGTAAGTAAAGATTTGTTTGAAAATAGCTTATTTACTGAAATATCGTTTTGTTTTGTGTTTTTGAATTCCTCTATATAAACCATTGAATGAAGGTCGGAAACAAAGAACTGTAAATTCTAATACATTTTCAACAGATCTATAATTCACTCTAAACTAAATCAAGAAATATTTCATCTTTCAATTTAAAAAATAAAATCAGTGGGAAAAATATTTTCAACAGTAGTTTTCTTGCAAAATAGACAGTCATTTTTATGAAATTCTGTGATGCAAGAGTTATCTCCCGTAGCATCGGGAAATCCGCTAAACATCTTACTATCAGAACCCCTGTGAGATATTTAGAACTAATATGCTAAAGAATATCGATCAACCAAAAATAATTGGTTTATTTTCAAAAAAGGAATTAATTTTCACCTCCAAACATAATATTTAGTTTAAAATTTGCTTTATTATTCAGGTTGAATCCACATTTCCATTGATGTATCAGTGACGTCAAATACCTATCTAATATTGCGTCACAATAGTTGCAAATATTCCGCAGAAGTTGGTAAATTTATGTAAACGTGCAAAGAAAAAGATGATTGAAAAGTTAAGTTAAATAATTTCTCTTTTCTGTCCAATAACTTTTCCGAGTGCATTAAATAATATTGTGATCCAGAATGTATTTTATTCACGGGCGGTGCCTCAGCTATAGATGTTTTAAAACAAGTCAGTATTGATAAGTAATTTCATACATGTACAAAACGTCTTTACAGTAATCATAATAGGATTAAATTGTTTTATTTTTGTTTAAATGAGTTAATAGCACATGCATATACTGGTATTTTATAATTCCTAAAAATTATTTTTCTAGTGTAATTTATTATGAACATTTCTGATAAAACTGGGATGTGAAAAGATTAAGAATTATTTCTTATTATTCAGTAATGATAAATATTCCAGATTTACGCAACATTAAATTCAATAAAGTCGAGATGTGCACCTCATGAAGTGTTGTTAATACTTAAATATGTTAACTTATATGCAGTAATATCAAATATGCAGTCAGCGATTGCTCACGATCGACTGACGGACCGAATAAACAGTTGTAAGAACGGAAGTACTCGTCACATCCCACTTCACTAATTAGCAATGGTTGTTTACTATTAGTGTCGGTGGTTCAGTTCTGTTTAGACTTTAATTTTTTAAAAATGTGAAAACTGAAATAGATAAAAAGTTATAGAAATCTATAAATTTACTACTTAATGAGGAAAATGTTGCCAATACTACTGCTGGACGCCCTACTTCAAACTGACACTAAAACGGCAGTTGATTCAATGGAACATTTTTTTTTAGTTTCGTTTTTAAAATTTGACAATTGTTCCACATAGATCTATCCTTATACTTTACGTAGAGTTAAAATAAGTCAGTAGGTTGGTAAATTTCCAAAATATCTCATTATTATCAAACCAGTTACAAAACGGATACCGCCCAGACGACCACCCCCCCACCCCCACCCCCCACCCCTCGTTTTTTTTTTTTTTTTTTTTTTTTTTTTTTTTTTTTTTTTTTTTGGTGCGATCATTTCTGGGCTCTATTATCATGATTATATGTATGTAAGTGTACAGGTTTTTTTCTTATTTATTTCAAATTAAATTTCTTAGAGCAGGAAAATATTCCTTAATATGATGAATGGATGAAAAAAAATTGGATTAAAGCCGAGGCTGTACACATAAAAAATACTTGCTGGATTAAAGTACGTGCATGTATAATTTCGCCACTTTGCAGGACTTTTTTTTTAAAGATTTTCTTTTTATTCCAGATAATTTTAAAAAAAATATTTTTCTTGGGAATGAGATATTTTATTAAGCTTAAAATTTGCTTTTTAATTGAAACATAAAATAATTATCTTTTTAAATAGGTGTGTATCAAGAAATCAAACAGATGTTTTACAAGTAATTAAAAAGATCTTCATGGACCTGAAAAACATTTAGTAATTAAGATATATGTAATCTATGGATAAAATCATCTAAAAACATGTAACTCACGAAAAGAAATAAAATACAGACATATTCTTATGATAAAATACAACGAAGAGCCGATTTTAGAAAATTATTCTAATTTTTAATATAGAAACCAATCCCGATTGAAATAAAACCGATCCCGATCGAAATTAATGCGAAATTATTAAGTAATCAAATTAATGGTAACTGCCATCTAGAAAACATGTTTAAAAATAAATCAAGTAATTTGTAAACCATATTAAAACAAAACAACCAAATTTCATGATGAAATCATGGTAGCTTTCTTCTTTATATAATTCCGGTCGGGATCGGTTTAATTTGGATAAATTTATAAAAAGTAGATAATTTGACGCCTCTTATTTCTCTCAATATACCTGTTCCCACCAATTTTTTAAATTGATTCAACAATTTGTACTTTGTATTTATAATAACATGAGGAGAAAGTTTTGACATTTAAATGTATTGGATTTTAGAACGTAATGAACATTGGATAGTGAATTCATTAAGTCACTTGCTTAACTCAAGTTTAGACCACATAATTTTTTCTAAAGAAATATAAATTGGTGTCTTATTCATTGATATTATAAAAGATAAGGGTTTATACTACAAATAATATTTATTGACATATCCAGTTTTTGAGTATCTGTTTCAAATAAAACAAAACAAAAACGTAGTATATTTTTAACCAACTTGTTGACCTTTTTGCACTTAAAATTAAGCTCATACCCAAAATAGGACTAGAGAAACACTAAAAAAAATTTTGATGTTGCCATGTGTAAACATTTGCTTTAATAAGTCTATATGCAAAAAATAATCAAAATCCATGACATGCGATGTGCCACCCATTGCCTGGTTTTTTGGTGAACTGCCTCTTAAAATGTAAATATTCATTCACTTTATTCAACTTTTTTCTTCGGTTTCCTAAAGTTACTAATTATGTATGTATTCATATATTTCCAGTATTAAAGCTAGATTAATAAAAACTTACACATTTAAAGTTTCTATGAGTTATAATTTTAGCCTTTAATTGATTTAAGGTTATTTATAGATTGTAAAATTTAGTGTAGATTATAACTCACATAACAAACTTTTAAAGTGAAAAATCTTCATATTTTGTGTTTTTATTTATTATTTTTTGATTTGATAAAATTCTTCTCTTCAAGTGAATCTTAAAGGAAAAATAGATTCACTTAGAAATGAGCCTTTTAGTATTTTAGCTTTTACAAATTGCATTTACTTATATGCTGACCATGACTCATGATGACAAAAAAATTGATCATTTCAAATTTCAGATGTACAAATTGTCAAGCAAGGGATTCTGATTTAGACATACTAGTATTTTTTTGCACAGTTTGCATTGTTGTTCCAAAGATTACTTCCGCCTGGGGAAAAAAGTTTTCATTGATTGTATAATAGTACATGGTCGAACGGGCGTATGTAAGTAAATGCATATTTTTTACTCTTAAAAAATACCATTGTACCTTCTAGTCTCATACTACAGATATACTTAATGAGTTTAACCCCCCCCCCCCCCATTTTACGGGGTTAATGATCACTTTTTAAATTTTTTTCTTTGTCAACAGATTAAAATCTAGTGGTGAATCTGTATTTAGCCTGAAATACATAAACGTAAAAAATGATTAAGTTAACATATTTTTTAATATCAATAGTTTGGAAAGTGTTATGGTTTCCACATCAGAAATAACATTTTAGATTTTTCAGGTTGATTCTTGTTGCAATCAAATGGAATGCCATTTGAAGAAGTTTGAAAACCACAGCTGGGGCTGTAAGATCAAGCTGGAAGATCTGCTCTGATCCTGCAAACTAAGCAGAACAGATTGAAGGTCAGTCAAGCCATTCATTGGCTTTATATTTAGTAATTATAGGATTAACTTTCTTCCCCGTGATCACTTCTAATTTAGTACCTGATTACAGAGTTTCATTTACCGAAATAACAATTAGCCCATGTCATGTCTAAATTTTGAATTTACTGAGCGGGAGGAAGTTAAAAACTTATATTGTATTTACTCCCACCCCGTAAATTCTAAAATGTAGAAAATGACAACTTAAGATTTTTTTTTAAAAAATTCTTTAAATTATTGATTGTAGGGACAAAATAATTAGTGTTGGCTTAATATTAAAAGATGTTAAAATTTATATATCAATCAATTCAGTTAACGATCGATATTCATTATTTATTGTCTAATAAAATACCCTAAACGTAAAACGTAAACATTGCTTCATCAAAGCCTTGCATTTGAAGCATTTATTTATGCAAACTGTGACAGAAGCATGGAAACAACCCCTGGTATTTCCCCACACACTAACATGTCGCTATTACTCTCCCGACATGACAAAATATTATAATTGTGCTAATTGTACTGTACATAGGTAACATAACATTTTTTGAACCTAATACACGGATTCCTGTGACATGACAAATGTTGTGATCTAGATGTGCAGGGATAAACAAGCTGGAATATATGGTATTTATATTTTATTTTGCTTGGAGAATAAGGTGAATCGTTGAAAGTGTTTATTCTTACATAGAATAATTATTCT